GAAGTTTCTATGCTCGTAAAGTTTGGAATATATGTAAACATAGCCGCCAGAGATTGAGAACGCATCAACGCCTTCGCAAGTAGATGCGTAATTGTTTGTTGTATCTTGTCCACGGTGTCTGAGCAGCCCGTCCCCAACGTCACTAAACTGATGTACTAAATTGACTTAACTCTTCTTATCATAAGTCTGACAGTGGTGATACAGCTCCCTGTATCCCTGACAGTGGTGATACAGCACCCTGTATCCCTGACAGTGGTGATACAGCACCCTGTATCCCTGACAGTGATGATACAGCTCCCTGTATCCCTGACAGTGGTGATACAGCTCCCTGTATCCCTGACAGTGGTGATACAGCACCCTGTATCCCTGACAGTGGTGATACAGCACCCTGTATCCCTGACAGTGGTGATACAGCACCCTGTATCCCTGACAGTGGTGATACAGCACCCTGTATCCCTGACAGTGGTGATACAGCACCCTGTATCCCTGACAGTGGTGATACAGCACCCTGTATCCCTGACAGTGGTGATACAGCTCCCTGTATCCCTGACAGTGGTGATACAGCACCCTGTATCCCTGACAGTGGTGATACAGCACCCTGTATCCCTGACAGTAGTGATACAGCTCCCTGTATCCCTGACAGTGGTGATACAGCACCCTGTATCCCTGACAGTGGTGATACAGCTCCCTGTATCCCTGACAGTGGTGATGCAGCACCCTGTATCCCTGACAGTGGTGATACAGCACCCTGTATCCCTGACAGTGGTGATACAGCACCCTGTATCCCTGACAGTGGTGATACAGCTCCCTGTATCCCTGACAGTGGTGATACAGCACCCTGTATCCCTGACAGTGGTGATACAGCACCCTGTATCCCTGACAGTGGTGATACAGCTCCCTGTATCCCTGACAGTGGTGATACAGCTCCCTGTATCCCTGACAGTGGTGATACAGCACCCTGTATCCCTGACAGTGGTGATACAGCTCCCTGTATCCCTGACAGTGGTGATACAGCACCCTGTATCCCTGACAGTGGTGATACAGCACCCTGTATCCCTGACAGTGGTGATACAGCTCCCTGTATCCCTGACAGTGGTGATACAGCACCCTGTATCCCTGACAGTGGTGATACAGCTCCCTGTATCCCTGACAGTGGTGATACAGCTCCCTGTATCCCTGACAGTGGTGATACAGCTCCCTGTATCCCTGACAGTGGTGATACAGCACCCTGTATCCCTGACAGTGGTGATACAGCTCCCTGTATCCCTGACAGTGGTGATACAGCACCCTGTATCCCTGACAGTGGTGATACAGCTCCCTGTATCCCTGACAGTGGTGATACAGCTCCCTGTATCCCTGACAGTGGTGATACAGCTCCCTGTATCCCTGACAGTGGTGATACAGCACCCTGTATCCCTGACAGTGGTGATACAGCTCCCTGTATCCCTGACAGTGGTGATACAGCACCCTGTATCCCTGACAGTGGTGATACAGCTCCCTGTATCCCTGACAGTGGTGATACAGCTCCCTGTATCCCTGACAGTGGTGATACAGCACCCTGTATCCCTGACAGTGGTGATACAGCACCCTGTATCCCTGACAGTGGTGATACAGCACCCTGTATCCCTGACAGTGGTGATACAGCACCCTGTATCCCTGACAGTGGTGATACAGCACCCTGTATCCCTGACAGTGGTGATACAGCACCCTGTATCCCTGACAGTGGTGATACAGCACCCTGTATCCCTGACAGTGGTGATACAGCTCCCTGTATCCCTGACAGTGGTGATACAGCACCCTCCCTGTATCCCTGACAGTGGTGATACAGCTCCCTGTATCCCTGACAGTGGTGATACAGCTCCCTGTATCCCTGACAGTGGTGATACAGCACCCTGTATCCTGACAGTGGTGATACAGCTCCCTGTATCCCTGACAGTGGTGATACAGCTCCCTGTATCCCTGACAGTGGTGATACAGCACCCTGTATCCCTGACAGTGGTGATACAGCTCCCTGTATCCCTGACAGTGGTGATACAGCACCCTTAGGGTCTCACAATAAAAATAACTTTTTTTGACAGCCACGCAGGTAATTCATCCTATTATCGGTGACTTTTTTGTTTTATCTTTTTGTTTCCTCGTTCAGATATCAAATTTCTCTGCCTTTACTGATCAGATTCACGAAGCAGTTACGCAAGCACCTATGAACGTGTACATCTTTCCTCAATCTTTGACGGCTTTGGTTACATTTATTAAACAGTTTACAAGCATGAAAACTTGCCAATCAACTGTTGTTATTGTTATAAACAGCCTCCTGGTGCTTCGGAGCTCATTAACTGTTTAATAATTGTAAACAAAGCCGCCAAAGATTGAGAAAAGATGTACAGGTTCGTAAGTGTTTGCGTAAGTACTTTCGTGAATCTGGCCCCTGGTGTGTAAGACCTCGCTACAGCAGTTCGCTCTGTCGAGCGTTCACGTCGTCACTAAACTGAGGTTCTAGATTGCCCGAACCTAACCTATCTGAGGATCCGTGCGTAGAAAACGGGACATCGTGTCAATTTTTCGTAACCTATCTTCAGGAAAGAAATATGCTCACAGGACTGGATTGAGGACAACTACATAATTAGTGCTCTTATCTGCTCTTAATCCATGGTTAGGTTAGGTTAAGGTTACTTTAGGTTAAGGCTAGTTTAGGTTAGGACACACGCCACAGGTGTGTGTGTGTGTGTGTGTGTGTGTGTGGCGGGGCCTCGCTGCAGGTGTGTGTGGTTGGGGGGGGGGGCTCGCTACAGGTGTGTGTGGGGGGGGGCTCGGGGTGGCCTCGCTACAGGTGTGTGTGGTGGGGGCCTCGCTACAGGTGTGTGTGTGGTGGGGGCGGGGCCTCGCTACAGGTGTGTGTGGTGGGGGGCCTCGCTACAGGTGTGTGTGGTGGGGGGCGCCTCGCTACAGGTGTGTGTGGTGGGGGGCCTCGCTACAGGTGTGTGTGGTGGGGGGGGACTCGCTACAGGTGTGTGTGGGGGGGCCTCGCTACAGGTGTGTGTGTGTGTGTGTATGGGGATGTGGCCAACTATTATCTCCTTCCAAGTTTCTTATTTTCCTTTGTGTCATCACTAACCAATATCCAATCCAATCATAAATGATTAGAGTCCATTAGGTCAACAGTACAGCATTTCACGTCTTAAATTACGTCTCTTAGAACTAAGGTCCACACTGCTTAAGAACAGCTCAGGGCCAGACAGAGGCGATCTTTGAATTCAACTCAAGTGATTAGTCGCGGCTACTAATGACCAGCCTTAATTAGGCGTCAATTAACAAGCGTAGGCTCGTTAGGGGCGAGTCGTAAGCTTCGGTGATTCCAGTGAGTTGTCATAAGCTTGGTTTACAGTGTTCTTGTCCCGTAAACAAATGAAGGTGTTTTACGTGCACTCTTCCTCCTTGTACTGTGTGTGTAAGGTTTGACTTATACTGTGGATGTATATACTTATACTCTTACTCCTTATACTCCTGGTCTGTGGTGGTCAGTGCTAGGCTGTGGGCACTGCTGTCTTTGCTCTGTGGTGCTCTGTGGTGCTCAGTGGTCCTCTGTGGTGCTCTGTGGTGCTCTATGGTGCTCTATGGTCCTCTGTGGTGCTCTGTGGTGCTCAGTGGTCCTCTGTGGTGCTCTATGGTCCTCTGTGGTGCTCTGTGGTGCTCAGTGGTCCTCTGTGGTGCTCTGTGGTGCTCAGTGATGCTCTATGGTCCTCTGTGGTGCTCTGTGGTGCTCAGTGGTCCTCTGTGGTGCTCTATGGTCCTCTGTGGTGCTGTGGGTCACCCTTGGGAGTGATGACTCTGATCCTCACGTCTCATAAACCTGTAAACCTCACTCTCCCAGACTGACAATTTCCTGGAACCGTCTTAATGAATTTATGATTCTAAGCGTGATAACATTTTCCCGCGTCCCTTGTTCATTGTACGCCCCTCTGTTCATGATTTGTTCATCTTGTTCACGTGTTGTTCTTTAGTTTAGTTTTCAAAGACAGTTTTCCATTGCCTTTGATAATTTTTTGGGGGTCTCCCTCCAATGCTAAAGTCTATGGACTCGGGGCAGAATATTTCATATTCACAGACTTGGTAAAGAAGGGGCCTTATTTAGGCTTATATTCACCTAGTTGTGTTTGCGGGGGGTTGAGCTCTGGCTCTTTGGTCCCGCCTCTCAACCGTCAATCAACAGGTGTACAGAATCCTGAGCCTATTGGGCTCTATCATATCTACACTTGAAACTGTGTATGGAGTCAGCCTACAAAGCCCGCCTTCTGGGGGGGGGGCACTTGAACGACTCCTCCCCTACGACAGTCATGATCAAATTACCGTAAATCCTGCACCGTTTAATGAGACTAGCCTCTAGCGTCGGGCCTCCAGCGTCGAGGGGTTTATCCTTGAACAAGCAGACAGACATCATCTCTTAATGACAGATATCGCAGTTTATATTTAATATCAGCACCTGCAGGATCGAGCTGTTAGCTCTTGGACCCCGCCTTTCTGTCTAATGTACCGACTCCCAACCTGTTTTTCCCCAACCCCATCCTAACCTATATAGGAGATCAAGAAAATAAAATTTGTTTTATTTGGTTTTCACCAGGTTTATACGTCAGGTGTAATCATATCCCGACTCGGGTTATGGGTTGTGCTGGAGTGAGTGATAAATCCTGTGATAAGGAGGAGAGTGGCGGGGACCCAAAGTGGACTGGACCAAGGTTGGCTAAACTGGAGTCGGTGAAAGTCTTATCGGGTCCGTACCTTTTGTCTGCTAATCATCAGACCAAATTGCATTACATAGACTTCACTGCTTTCAGAGATAGCAGTAGAATAGTATCGTTTTACACACACACACACACACACACACACACACACACACACACACACACACACACACACACACACACACACACACACACACACACATTATTTAAGCGTGACACATTGTATTTGAACAACGACTGATTCGTGACTTTTTCTTTCCACAGGGACCTGAGATTCAACAAGATCAGAAGCATCCCGACCAACCACTTCAAGGACCTCAAACATCTCCACACCTTGTGAGTACCCGTCTCTCACAGTGAGAGAGTGTATCTCTCACTCTCTCTCTGTATCTCTCTCAGTGAGAGAGTGTGCCTCTCTCAGTCTCTCTGTATCTCTCACAGTCTCTCTCTCTCTCTCTCTCACAGTGAGAGAGTGTGTCTCTCTCTCAGTGAGAGAGTCTCTCTCTCTCAGTCTCTCTCTCTCTCTCTCACAGTCTCTCTCTCTCTCTCTCTCTCTCTCTCTCTCTCTCTCTCTCTCTCTCTCTCTCTCTCTCTCTCTCTCCTCTCTCTCTCTCTCTCTCTCTCTCTCTCTCTCTCTCTCTCTCTCTCTGTGTGTTTCGTGTGACCTCAGTGAGGGGGCCATGTATCCTGTGTCACGGCTACAGTGTCCATCCAGATGCTCCCAGTATCCTTCCCCCTGTGTGTTCAACCCCCCTCCACCACACACACACACACACCCAGCGGTACCCGGGTCTCCTCCTCCTCCCTCCTCCCCCCCCCGCCACTTGATGTAATCTCGTGTCATACCTAAACACAGCACAGCCAAGTGTTGTTAAAAATTCACACGTATCAAGATAAGCCTTCCCACGAGACAGAAGCGTTTATTTACTCCCCTCTCCTGTTCCCCCCTTCCCATCACCTCTCCCCTCTCCTGTCCCCTCATCCCCCTTCCCTCACCCCCCTTCTCTCACACCCCCTCCCCCACCCCATCTCATTCCAGACTACAGTGTGTTAAGTAATTCAGTAGTGTCTGCCTACTTGTGTAGTGTTACGTAACGTAACACCAGTAGGGGCCGTCACAACGCCGTAACACCAGTAGGGGCCGTCACAACCCTGTAACACCAGTAGGGGACCGTTACAACACTGTAACACCAGTAGGGGACCGTCACAACACTGTAACACCAGTAGGGGACCGTCACAACACTGTAACACCAGTAGGGGACCGTCACAACACTGTAACACCAGTAGGGGACCGTCACAACACTGTAACACCAGTAGGGGCCGTCACAACACCGTAACACCAGTAGGGGCCGTCACAACACCGTAACACCAGTAGGGGACCGTCACAACACCGTAACCGTCACAACACCGTAACACCACAACACTGTAGGGGACCGTCACAACACCGTAACACCAGTAGAGGGGCCGTCCGTCACAACACCAGTAACACCAATAGGGGGCCGTCACAACACAACGTAACACCAGTAGGGGGTCCGTCACAACACCGTAACACCAGTAGGGGACCAACACTGTAACACCAGTCACAACACCGTAACACCAGTAGAGGGCCGTCACAACACCGTAACTCCAGTAGGGGGGCCGTCACAACACTGTAACACCAGTAGGGGACCGTCACAACACCGTAACACCAGTAGAGGGGCCGTCACAACACCGTAACACCAGTAGGAGACCGTCACACCACCGTAACACCAGTAGGGGGACCGTCACAACACCGTAACACCAGTAGGGGTCCGTCACAACACCGTAACACCAGTAGGGGTCCGTCACAACACCGTAACACCAGTAGGAGACCGTCACAACACCGTAACACCAGTAGGGGGCCGTCACAACACCGTAACACCAGTAGAGGGGCCGTCACACCAACGTAACACCAGTAGGGGGACCGTCACACCAACGTAACACCAGTAGGGGACCGTCACACACCCACATATCCACTCCTACCATTATAAATAAAGTTCTAGCAGGCGGGATTCGTCTTCATAATTGGTGGTTGAGGTCGCCGCTAACAATGCCCCATAATGACCCGCGACACTAAAGGCTCTCGGCTGACTGTTTATCTCCGGCGTTGACGGCTCTTCTTGTGTCCCGGCTGTGATTTGTGGCGGCATTCCTGCGCGCACCTCCGGTCGCACGACGGTGGTGGGGGTGTGGGGCGGTGGAGGGGGGTGCTGGAGGGGCGGTGAGGGGGTGCTGGAGGGGCGGTGGGGGGTGACGGGGTGCAGCTAGGGGAGGGGGGTGATGGTAGGAAAGTGAGGTCTATGCTTGTTGAACGTCTTGCGTTACAGTAGAACTATTCTGATGTTTCATTTCTTCGTCATATCTGGACAATGAAGGTGGTAGAGGTGGCTTCCTTAACTTGTGCTTTCTGTGTCATTTTTCACGTGTTGTCCGCCCACACTTGGGCACGGCTGTGTTGTCCGCCCACACTTGGGCACGGCTGTGTTGTCCGCCCACACTTGGGCACGGCTGTGTTGTCCGCCCACACTTGGGCACGGCTGTGTTGTCCGCCCACACTTGGGCACGGCTGTGTTGTCCGCCCACACTTGGGCACGGCTGTGTTGTCCGCCCACACTTGGGCACGGCTGTGTTGTCCCTTCATTCCTTCAACCACTTGGGCTGGACGGTATAGTGCGACGGTCTCGCTTCTTTTAGGTTGGCGTTCGTTGCAACCCGCTCTCGCACAAGACAGTACATATATGACTTATTGCCTATAGTCACTATTTGGTTGACTATAGTACATATGTGGTATATGCCAAGTTATATTTTGTGGTATGTAATAAGTACATATGTGGTTTATGCCAAGTTATATTTTGTTTTTAAAAGTATAAATTCTTCCTATAGATTTGCTAAACACCAGATTTAATATTAGGAATTTCTTTTTCAGTTTTATTAAACAATAGAGATTTTATACAATATTTGACAATATCCTGAGTTACTTTACAATTTATTTAAATATTTTGTTTTTGTTTTATTAATTTTATAAGACTGTAATATCAATATAGATATAGGTTAAGTACTAGTTGTAATTAAGAAGCAATAAGATGCTTATCTTAACATACTAAGAAGGTTAGGTATGGTCGGTGTTTTCTATTCAGTTTTTCAACGTAAACTCAAATATTCACAATAAATTAGTATGTCACATATGCACGTATTTAATAAGTCAATATTGACTGTAAGAAAGTGCGAGAACGGGTTGTCCTCTCGAACTACTTTCTGTCAATTTAAAGAGGATGTCCTTGTTCACTTTTTGTCTTCTACTCAGTATCTTGTATGTTATGATCATATCTGCTCTGTTTCTTCTCTCCAGGAGTGTTAGATCTTGTTCCCTTGACGTATCCTCGTAACTTCACTCTCTGCGTGTTGACACTAAACTTGCTCCAAACCTCGGAACATTTTTTCAAACTTAGTTTTATGCCTCGCAAGGCGTGGCTTCCAGGCCGGTGCCGCAAAGTCTAGTGTTCAAGGGGGAAGCCGCTGCCAGAGTGCCCCGGGGCACTGTCCTGGGACCTCTGCTGTTTATGTATGTAAACGATGTTGATTACAATGGAGACGCTGCCTTAATCAACACGCAGGAAAAGGAGGGAGCCGATGGAGAGTTCGTAATTGCAAGAACTCGTCTTGGACACGTGTACCCCATGGAGATTCGGGATGGAGGTTATCTTGAGATGATTTCGGGGCTTTAGTGTCCCCGCGGCCCGGTCCACGACCAGGCATCCAACCCCCAGGAAGCAGCCCCTGACAGATGACTAACACCCAGGTACCTATTTTACTGCTAGGTAACAGGGGCATAGGGTGAAAGAAACTCTGCCCACTGTTTCTCACCGGCGCCCGGGATCGAACCCGTGACCACAGGATCACAAGTCCAGTGTGCTGTCCGCTCGGCCGACCGGCTCCCTAACAACAACAAAGTTTTCTTCCTATTGGGGAGTGTTGTATATGCTGCTATGGCGGTGTGTCCACTCACAAGATGAGTGGCGCTGCCCAATAAACTCGCCCCTCGGGGCAAAATTTAAATTAAAAAAAAAACAACAAAGTAGCAAAGTTTGCAGCATGAGTGAGAGAGTCCATCTGGACCAGTTGCTAAGAGACTGTGACCATCAAATATACATTAGAAACATGTGTAGTATAATAATCCACACATTGTTTGAGTTACCAAAACACTGTTCCTCAACTGTAGATACTGTCCTCGGAAGGCTCCTCCACTTTGCCTCCGCAAGATAACGTAAGCTTGAGGGTTGTAAGATATTAACCCTCTTGTTTGATTGTTCACTTGAGACAGTTAAGAAAGTGGCAGCTGCGCCTGGGTACAAGAGCCAGGCCAGCTGGTGGTCTCACAGTGTGGGTGTTGGACGTGCTCTTATGGCGCTTAAAATTACTAAATGAATTCTAGCGTTCTGAGACTAAGTAATAATAATAATAGTCACCAGATATCATCTATATAAAAGGTTGAAATTACGAAGTTTAAGAAAGTTTAAATATATATTTAATCAAGTTTAATTAAGAAGTTTAATTCTTCTAATTATACTCACTGGAGCAGGAGAGAGATTATAATCTACATCTGGACAACAATGAGAGGGACTGGTTCCCATTATGCACACTAAAATGATTCCTTATGAGACTGGCAGCTATGGTAGAAAGTGTAAAATAAAAAAGGTCCCAATTAAAAGTTGGGTTTAGTAGGGTACTCTAAGACCCTATAAACAAACATTTAGAGTCTTCTGACGCATTTGAACACCTTCACTCGGAATATACCTGGCTTAACCTATGCCTTTCCATTGGAGACTTTCAGCGCCGTGGAGAGGGGACCTGCTGCATGGGTAACAGCTTCTCCCCCGAGTCAACCTACCCTGGCTTTGTGCCCTGGTGAGGCCACTCCAGACCAGGCCGACACAAGAGCGCAACTCCAGAGTCTCCTGAGACTGATGGATGCCTACTACTACTACTACTCGACCTCTTTCCATTAAAGAGAGAAATTGATCAACACCAATAAAGGGTACCTGATCAACAGCATTTATGTGATTAATGTATAACACCGATGCAGTTATGTGATTCCTGAGTGCCGCGGCTTCCAGCAGTCTGGTCGACCTGACTGACAACCAGGAAGCCTCGTCATTACAACTAGGCTTCCTGGTCATAATGACCAGGAAGCATTATGCGTGTAGTGACCTCCGGCCAGTGTCTGGTGGAGTGTTGTGGTACTAGCAGCAACACTTCCAAGATAGTTAACATCAAGAAACTTGGTTCAATTTCTGTGATCAAACTTAAATGTATATCTTGTTAATTGAAAATATTATTTTTACATTTACTTTCACGATATCTCTACAGCAACATTTCCTCTTGACAAACAAGGAATAAAACATTAAACTGCATTGCTGATTGTGAAACCACCATCTTTGCACTATTCCTAATACAAGCTCCCACCTGGGGGAAAAATTGAACAGTCCATTGAACTCCTTGGAAGGAAATGTATTGAGCTCGGTTTCACTCTCTCCACAAACAAGATATCCCAGGATCTCTCCTGCGATTTAACCTGGGGGAAACTAACTTACGAGGGTTATCTTGAGATGATTTCGGGGCTTTAGTGTCCCCGCGGCCCGGTCCTCGGCCAGACCTCCACCCCCAGGAAGCAGCCCGTGACAGCTGACTAACACCCAGATACCTATTTTACTGCTAGGTAACAGGGGCATAGGGTGAAAGAAACTTTGCCCATTGTTTCTTGCCGGCGCCTGGGATCGAACCCAGGACCACAGGATCACAAATCGGGAGTAGAAGAACTCCCAGAACCCCATCAACCAGGTATCAACCAGTCCAGTGTGCTGTCCGCTCGGCCGACCGACCGGGTTGGGTTAAGGTGTAGCTTATAACCTGTCCCTGGTGCTGACTGGAGAAGCAGAACAACCTACCACATCACTCTTGGTGTAGCAGAACAGCCATCAGCGCTGCTTGGCTGGGTCTCCTAACCTGCTCAGCCAAGCACAGCGTCACTACAGCGCCCTGTCTCACTATGTCACACGCTCACACAGTGCGGGTTCACGGTTGTGACCTTGTGTGTAGTGACGTCTGGATAGCCTTGTTGGGGGGATGGGATGATGGTGGGACCTGGGGTCGTGACTCTTCAGGTGGTGGGACCCAGTGTGGTGACTCTTCAGGCGGTGGGACCCAGGGTAGTGACTGTTCAGGTGGTGGGACCCAGGGTGGTGGTGACTCTTCAGGTGGTGGGACCCAGGGTGGTGACTCTTCAGGTGGTGGGACCCAGGGTGGTGACTCTTCAGGTGGTGGGACCTGGGGTCGTGACTCTTCAGGTGGTGGGACCCAGTGTGGTGACTCTTCAGGCGGTGGGACCCAGGGTAGTGACTCTTCAGGTGGTGGGACCCAGGGTGGTGGTGACTCTTCAGGTGGTGGGACCCAGGGTGGTGACTCTTCAGGTGGTGGGACCCAGGGTGGTGACTCTTCAGGTGGTGGGACCCAGGGTAGTGACTCTTCAGGTGGTGGGACCCAGGGTAGTGACTCTTCAGGTGGTGGGACCCAGGGTAGTGACTCTTCAGGTGGTGGGACCCAGGGTGGTGACTCTTCAGGTGGTGGGACCCAGTGTGGTGACTCTTCAGGTGGTGGGACCCAGTGTGGTGACTCTTCAGGTGGTGGGACCCAGTGTGGTGACTCTTCAGGTGGTGGGACCCAGTGTGGTGACTCTTCAGGTGGTGGGACCCAGTGTGGTGACTCTTCAGGCGGTGGGACCCAGTGTAGTGACTCTTCAGGTGGTGGGACCCAGGGTGGTGACTCTTCAGGTGGTGGGACCCAGGGTGGTGACTCTTCAGGTGGTGGGACCCAGTGTGGTGACTCTTCAGGTGGTGGGACCCAGTGTGGTGACTCTTCAGGTGGTGGGACCCAGTGTGGTGACTCTTCAGGTGGTGGGACCCAGGGTGGTGACTCTTCAGGTGGTGGGACCCAGTGTGGTGACTCTTCAGGTGGTGGGACCCAGGGTAGTGACTCTTCAGGTGGTGGGACCCAGGGTAGTGACTCTTCAGGTGGTGGGACCCAGGGTGGTGACTCTTCAGGTGGTGGGACCCAGTGTGGTGACTCTTCAGGTGGTGGGACCTGGGGTAGTGACTCTTCAGGTGGTGGGACCCAGGGTAGTGACTCTTCAGGTGGTGGGACCCAGGGTAGTGACTCTTCAGGTGGTGGGACCCAGGGTGGTGACTCTTCAGGTGGTGGGACCCAGGGTGGTGACTCTTCAGGTGGTGGGACCCAGGGTGGTGACTCTTCAGGTAGTCTGACCCAGTGTGGTGACTCTTCAGGTGGTGGGACCCAGTGTGGTGACTCTTCAGGTGGTGGGACCCAGGGTGGTGACTCTTCAGGTGGTGGGACCCAGGGTGGTGACTCTTCAGGTGGTGGGACCCAGTGTGGTGACTCTTCAGGTGGTGGGACCCAGGGTGGTGACTCTTCAGGTGGTGGGACCCAGGGTGGTGGTGACTCTTCAGGTGGTGGGACCCAGTGTGGTGACTCTTCAGGTGGTGGGACCCAGGGTGGTGGTGACTCTTCAGGTGGTGGGACCCAGTGTGGTGACTCTTCAGGTGGTGGGACCCAGGGTGGTGGTGACTCTTCAGGTGGTGGGACCCAGGGTGGTGACTCTTCAGGTGGTGGGACCCAGGGTAGTGACTCTTCAGGTGGTGGGACCCAGGGTGGTGACTCTTCAGGTGGTGGGACCCAGGGTGGTGACTCTTCAGGTGGTGGGACCCAGGGTGGTGACTCTTCAGGTGGTGGGACCCAGTGTGGTGACTCTTCAGGTGGTGGGACCTGGGGTAGTGACTCTTCAGGTGGTGGGACCCAGGGTAGTGACTCTTCAGGTGGTGGGACCCAGGGTGGTGGTGACTCTTCAGGTGGTGGGACCCAGGGTGGTGACTCTTCAGGTGGTGGGACCCAGTGTGGTGACTCTTCAGGTGGTGGGACCCAGTGTGGTGACTCTTCAGGTGGTGGGACCCAGGGTAGTGACTCTTCAGGTGGTGGGACCCAGGGTAGTGACTCTTCAGGTGGTGGGACCCAGGGTGGTGACTCTTCAGGTGGTGGGACCCAGGGTAGTGACTCTTCAGGTGGTGGGACCCAGGGTAGTGACTCTTCAGGTGGTGGGACCCAGGGTGGTGACTCTTCAGGTGGTGGGACCCAGGGTGGTGACTCTTCAGGTAGTCTGACCCAGTGTGGTGACTCTTCAGGTGATGGGACCTGGATAGGTCTCTGGATAGGGACCTATCACCTGGGTCTTGCCACCATCAGTTATCTTACATTACTTGGTCCTTGTTTGGATGATAGCTTTATTATCCACTTCTTATTCATTTAATTAGAGAAATTATTTATAGGAGACAGTTGTAATTATCAATATTGTTGTTTAAATTTTAATTTTGTTAATTATTTCATATACTTTAGGCAATATACTCATGCTGTCTTTAGTACATGCCAAAATGGAGAAGTCTAATAAACCAAATATTTCCAATTGAAAGGACACTCATTATTAGAAGCATGGCAAGATTATCCCGTATCTCAGTATGTCTCTTTACTCCCCCATCATCAGAGTAGGCAAAATTGTAATTGATTTTGTCAATAAAGATGTTATTAATGATGTTATTCATTAATGTTAAAGATGTTAAAGATGTTAATCAGGACACTAGTGCGTGCCGGCCCTCAAGGGAGCGGACGCGCATCACTCACCTCTCTTGTCTTTTCCCGCCAGATTGCTTAACAACAACCACATCGCGCGCCTCCAGAATGGCTCCTTCACCGGCCTCGAGTCTCTCCGGTACCTGTAAGTGTTTGCTCAGACTGTTGTTGTCGCCGTCCAGCACACTCCCCTGACTGGGGAGCGGCTGCCTGTGTGTGTTTTTTTTTTTTTTTAGCATTTTTAGGTATGTGTGCAGCTGGTATAGACTATATGTGAAGGGGAGTACAGTGTGTGCCAAGAATTAGCTACGTGATGGTAAATATCTCTATCACATACATGGTTTTCTTGTATGGTTTATATAGTCTATGGGGTTAACTTCCTATACTATGAATCACACTAGGCCTTAATTTCATAGTGTCATTCATGCTAGGGGTTAACTTTACATCTTAGGAGTCATGTTAGGGGTTAATTTTACACCTTAGGAGTCATGTTAGGGGTTAACTTTACACCTTAGGAGTCATGTTAGGGGTTAACTTTACACCTTAGGAGTCATGTTAGGGGTTAACTTTACACCTTAGGAGTCATGTTAGGGGTTAACTTTACACCTTAGGAATCATGTTGGGGGTTAACTTTACACCTTAGGAGTCATGTTAGGGGTTAACTTTACACCTTAGGAGTCATGTTAGGGGTTAACTTTACACCTTAGGAGTCATGTTAGGGGTTAACTTTACACCTTAGGAGTCATGTTAGGGGTTAACTTTACACCTTAGGAGTCATGTTAGGGGTTAACTTTACACCTTAGGAGTCATGTTAGGGGTTAACTTTACACCTTAGGAGTCATGTTAGGGGTTAACTTTACACCTTAGGAGTCATGTTAGGGGTTAATTTTACATCTTAGGAGTCATGTTAGGGGTTAACTTTACACCTTAGGATTCATGTTAGGGGTTAACTTTACACCTTAGGAGTCATGTTAGGGGTTAATTTTACACCTTAGGAGTCATGTTAGGGGTTAATTTTACATCTTAGGAGTCATGTTAGGGGTTAACTTTACACCTTAGGAGTCATGTTAGGGGTTAACTTTACACCTTAGGAGTCATGTTAGGGGTTAACTTTACACCTTAGGAGTCATGTTGGGGGTTAACTTTACACCTTAGGAGTCATGTTAGGGGTTAACTTTACACCTTAGGAGTCATGTTAGGGGTTAACTTTACACCTTAGGAGTCATGTTAGGGGTTAACTTTACACCTTAGGAGTCATGTTAGGGGGTTAGATTCTTCACGTGGGCTGCGTAATATGGGGTTAGCGTCACCGTATGTGTGTGTGAACTTCATTATATTTGCTTTATAAAAGATGGTAACTACGCCGTGTTTTAATATTATTGTATTAACGTCTATTGTATGGGAGTATAGCACCATATGGGCTTATTACGAGACTGTCACTCTACCAGCCAGGCCAGGATGCTTACAATAAGCTGACATTATAATTACAAGGTGTGCATGATAGACGTAATTGTTAATATAATACTCTCCGTTGAGGTCTGCTGACCTTTTGTGCCCTCTGTAATGCTTTTTTTTTGCGCTACCGCTCACAGGATGAGTATGGAGCGCACAATTAAAGTAGTTACAAGTGAATGAAATGTTACTGCCGGCGATGCTGTGGGATGCTTGTTAGGGATACGGCCTTTGCCACACATAAAAGGACATAAGGACTTAAAAATAAAACATGGATCTAGACAAGGCTTCCGCTGCATCTTTTAGTATCTACGGGGATATCTTTGCCCCGGCCTGTGGCTCTTAGCACATTCGGCACCTCTGTTTCCATACTTTTGGGGCTGTATATTTCTGGATAGTCTTATGTTGTTTATCATTTCTTGAGTTATTTTTCCTTCAATACTTTTTCCTGTGATATTATCTCTAGGAATTCTCTGACGTTCTGGTAATTCCCTTCACAGCTTGCAAGCACTGCTGATCACACTTCTTCCTGCCTCTCTTAATACTCACTACATATTTACACACTAATATGCAGTGTGTGTGTGTATGTTTGTGTGTGTGTGTGTGTGTGTGTGTGTGTGTGTGTGTGTGTGTGTGTGTGTGTGTGTGTGTGTGTGTGTGTGTGTGTGTGCTACCTGGTGGGGAGGGGGGTTGAACTTCAGCTCCTGGACCTGTCTCTTTAACCTGCGTTTTTAGTACGTTAGATACATTCCTGCTCTGCAGTTTTCCCCACTTCATTAAATTGAATTTGTGCAGCCTTTCCTTGTAGCTCATGCCCCTCAGCTTCCCGAGCTGTGTATTCACCTAGTTGTGCTTGTGGGGGTTGAGCTCTCGCTCTTTCGGCCCGCCTCTCAACTGTCAATCAACTTATTTTTTTTTTGTCACACACACACACACACGCACACACACACACACACACACACACACACACACGCACACACACACACACACACACACACACACACACACACACACACACACACACACACACACACACACACACACACACACACACAAAGGAAGCAGCCCCGCAACTGCTGTCTAACTCCCAGGTACCTATTTACTGCTAGGTAACAGGGGCATCAGAGTGAAAGAAACTCTGCGTATTTGTTTCCCGCCATCGCCGGGGATCGAACCCTGGTCCACAGGACTACATATCCAGCGTGCTGTCTACTCAGCCACCAGGCACCCCTGCTTCCTGTGTGGTGGTAAGCCTCTGCACTTTGTGCATATTTAGGGGGGTCTGCCCCCCCGCCCTAAATATGCTAAAATGGTCTGCCTTCTCAGTTCCCTTGACTATCTAATGTGAGGTGAACATTTCTGCACTGTTGAACCTCACGTCACAAGAATGGAGATTACATTCCTTTAGCCTTTCCTTGCTACTCGTACTTCTCACTACGGGCTCACCATAGCCTGTGCTACTTGGAGCCTCGTTCCAGGTAGCGAATCTTTAACAACAGCATCATCGTACTTCTCAGCTCCGGGACCGTACTTCTCAGCTCCGGGACTAATGGTGCACAGTTTATGTAGCAGTCTCGGGCTGACCTTATCTATCCAGTAATTTAAGGACGTACTGTAGTGGTGGACTATTGTTTAAAAGCCATTGCTGACAACTCTGACAGTGCTTGAATCAATCTGTGGATGCTGTGAATCAGGAACCTGCATCTTGACAGGTTCATGGGATAGTGACTCTTCAAAAATGGTGTGTCAGCAGTTCTGTCTCTTCATGGTTACTTGGCTGCAACAGTCCCGTCTCTGTTTAGTAGCGGGATTGTGTTCTCTGGTGAATATCCCAGCCGGTCTCTAACACGGACCTCCACACTTGGGATCCAACTCTTCCTGATGCTCATGAGATTTCATTCATTATTTATTTATTGTGCACCCCATACCCATCCCGTGGGTGGTGGTGGTGGAGAGGGAGAGCCTACTTTTGAACTTCTTTCATTTGATTATAAGATCGTCTGATATTGTTCCTGTTATGAGTTGATAGAGGCGTTTTATATACCCTCCAGACCTTGATTTTGGCCCCCATCGGCTGCCACCAAAAATGCTATCCAAACCCATGTCTGGTGAGAAGGTTTCGACACCACCGGTTCAGGAAGTCCAGTGTATGATAGTGAAGGCGTCTGCTTGACTGTTCACATCATCCTGAAGCAGACAGATCATTCTATGCAGTTGATCGTGGCTCTGAGCAAAGGGCTTGCCGGTTCCCCTTGTGTCCCAGCAGCCAGAGTGTGCAAGTTGAGTCTTCGCCGCGGTACGTGTGGATAGCCAGTGTGGTGCAGTCTGCTGAACCAACATATCCCAGGAGTCTGCTCTTAACCTTCTTATCTTGAGGTTATCTTGAGATGATTTCGGGGCTTTAGTGTCCCCGCGGCCCGGCCCTCGACCAGACCTCCACCCCCAGGAAGCAGCCCGTGACAGCTGACTAACACCCAGGTACCTATTTTACTGCTAGGTAACAGGTGCATACGGTGAAAGAAACTCTGCCCATTGTTTCTCGCCGGCGCCCGGGATCGAACCCGGGACCACAGGATCACAAGTCCAGCGTGCTGTCCGCTTGGCCGACCGGCCGACCTTACCTGCAGGTAAACCACTTAAGACAGAATTCAGGCAAGAGCTATGACTTGGGAAGTTTGATCAAACTGTCCACGTCAAAACTTAACATAATCTTGGTTCATTTTATTTGAGGTTAACGTCCCCCTCGGTCGTAACTTACGAGCATTTATCATGACCAAACCACGCGGCAGAAAGCGCAGAAATGACGATGTTTCGGTCCGTCCCGGATCATTAAGTCGTGTGATAGACATGTACCAATAGTAGAGTCAAGAATGCCCACCAGCAAGCTGCTTGGATAAGCACCCTGCCCTCGAGGTCTGTACATAGCGCCACCAAAACTGGAACAGGGATGAAAACATCAGTAGGTTGGGAGAATGGAGATCTTCTGACACTACAAGCGTGAGCAGGCGGCGTCCACGGCAGCAACACAGAGGCGCGGGTCCTTGTGTGCGCGAGGGCGTGCTTTGGTGGCATCTGAGAGAGGCGTCAGCGAGGCGTCGTAGGTGGCAGTAGAGACGACAGTTTTGAGTAGGCGAGCTGGCGGTGTGCCCTAGTTCTCAGACGTGTACATGGATCAGCCTAGAGAGCAGAGAGGCGGGAACATGGGGCTGTTGATGATGCCAGAGGTTGAATATGGGACCCTTGATGAAGCCAGAGGAGCCAGGGAGCCGGTCGGCCGAGCGGACAGCACGCTGGACTTGTGATCCTGTGGTCCTGGGTTCGATCCCGGGCGCCGGCGAGAAACAATGGGCAGAGTTTCTTTCACCCTATGCCCCTGTCATCTAGCAGTAAAATAGGTACCTGGGTGTTAGTCAGCTGTCAAGGGCTGCTTCCTGGGGGTGGAGGCCTGGTCGAGGACTGGGCCGCGGGGACACTAAAGCCCCGAAATCATCTCAAGATAACCTCAAGATAAGATAGCAACATGGGACCCTTGATGATGGTAGATGGGACCATGGCGTTGCATAAACATAAGAGTAGGTGGGAGACGGAGTGGAGTGCTTGGCGCCCTACCTACAAGGGAAGACGATCTTCAAGTGGCGGAGCCGAATAGTGTGATTCAAGTGGCTGGATTGTTTGACGCGACCAAAGCAAACAACTTAATATTTTTGTAAGAGATGGAGAAGGACTTCTTAGCGGTATGGAGGGTTGAATTAATCATGGCTTGGATACAACTAAAGATGAAGATGGATATGAGGATAATAGGACAGACTGTCATAGTCTAAAATCTTCATGGTCTCCGTCACAGCGGCTGAAAATGTAATGTCTCTGGGGTACAGGGGTAAATATACACATAGATGTAACCACCCGCTGAGTATACGCTGAGTTTACACTGGTTCTGGGCATTGTTCAAGACTAAAATATGCTTCTGTTGGTGAGTAAATTTTTGGGATGGCCTTAGTAACCCTCCAGAGGTTGATAGGCGCAGCAACACTGACAAATAAGGACCTACCTGTCCTTATTTTTTTTTAATATTATTACTCTTACTCGCCTTATTACTCTTACACCTTATTACTGTAGGTTATCTTGAGATGATTTCTGGGGCTTAGCGTCCCCGCGGCCCGGTCCTCGACCAGGCCTCCTTTTTGTTACACATCCCCCCCAGGAAGCAGCCCGTAGCTGCTGTCTTAACTCCCAGGTTCCTATTTACTGCTAGGTAACAGGGGGATTAGGGTGAAAGAAACTTTGCCCATTTGTTTCCGCCTCCACCGGGGATCGAACCCGGAACCTGAGGACTACGAATCTGAAGCGCTGTCCACCCAGCTGTTAGGTGTTACATTGTCCACACTTCTGGAGCTGTAATGTGTGTGTGTGTGTGTGTGTGTGTGTGTGTGTGTGTGTGTGTGTGTGTGTGTGTGTGTGTGTGTGTGTGTGTGTGTGTGTGTGTGTGTGTGTGTGTGTGTGTGTGTGTGTGTGTGTGTGTGTGTGTGTGTGTGTGTGTGTGTGTGTTTGTGTGTGTGTGTGTGTGTGTGTGTTTACTAGTTGTGTTTACTAGTTGTGTTTTTGCGGGGGTTGAGCTTTGCTCTTTCGGCCCGCCTCTCAACTGTCAATCAACTGTTTACTAACTACTATTTTTTTTTTCCACACCACACACACACACACCCCAGGAAGCAGCCCGTGACAGCTGACTAACTCCCAGGTACCTATTTACTGCTAGGTAACAGGGGCACTTAGGGTGAAAAAAACTTTGCCCATTTGTTTCTGCCTCGTGCGGGAATCGAACCCGCGCCACAGAATTACGAGTCCTGCGCGCTATCCACCAGGCTACGAGGCCCCCCACCTCGTGTGTGTGTGTGTGTGTGTGTGTGTGTGTGTGTGTGTGTGTGTGTGTGTGTGTGTGTGTGTGTGTGTGTGTGTGTGTGTGTGTGTGTGTGTGTTATAGTCATCTTCAAGAACACTTATGGACATACATATTATGGATTGTCTAACATAAATTATACTTGCATTACATAAGTTAAATAAAGTAGTCTTTCAGAGGCGTGAGGCTTTTTTTTTAGTTATATTTTTAAATACGACAAATTACATATACAGAAAGTATTTATAAATAGGAGATTTGTATAATTGTTAAGGTTTATTTCCCACTAGTAATATTTTTATCTGTAATTTGTCATTTTTGTTAATTTATAGCTAAAAGTGTCGCCCCACAGTGACAAAACTTCTATATTTTACGTCTGATTGAAATCATCATTACAAAAATGTGTTAGATAGTTTACAGTGTATACAAATATAATGAAGACGTCAACCAGGAATTTCAATATGGCGCCCAAATGACGTCACCAAATAAAACCGTTGTCTCTGGCCCCGCGCCCGCCGCCCCGATCAGCTGTTGTGGTGGTAAACAAAACACTCGCGGCTTCACTGTGTTGTGCTGTCCGGAGTCGTCACTGTTGTATTAATAGCTGGCAGTCGCCTCCTCCTCCTCCTCCTCTTCTCACACACTTTCTTTCTCGATAGATGCCTTGCTGTGCTTGTTGGTGGGGGGGGGGGATGTCTTATCTGACTGTTAAATGTCTTATCTGACTGTTAAGGGCTCCGTGTTGACGCGGGCTCGGGTGAATATTAATTATCAGATTAATTAATTATATATATAATTATTTCACACGCAGCAGAGACCGGTTAACAATATAGGGAAGAATTTTAATGTCAGGTATATTGTAACAAATCAAAATAAGCCTCAAAACTAGCCACCTGCATTTTTTTTATTTCTGGGGAACCTGAAAGATTTATCTGGGAATTTATTGTAGAGTGTTGTGAACATTTTGTATTATATATTACATGTCTCCCTTAACGGAGTAAAGTAACGGGTGAGTTAAATGTTGTAGCATGAGGTGAGGGGGGGGGGGGGTGTGTGGATGTAAGTGTGGGTGTGTGTGTGGATGTAAGTGTGGGTGTGTGGGTGTGTGGATGTAAGTGTGGGTGTGTGTGTGGATGTAAGTGTGGGTGTGTGGGTGTGTGGATGTAAGTGTGGGTGTGTGTGTGGATGTAAGTGTGGGTGTGTGGATGTAAGTGTGGGTGGGTGTGTGGATGTAAGTGTGGGTGTGTGGGTGTGTGTGTGTGGATGTAAGTGTGGGTGTGTGTGTGGATGTAAGTGTGGGTGTGTGGATGTAAGTGTGGGTGGGTGTGTGGATGTAAGTGTGGGTGGGTGTGTGGATGTAAGTGTGGGTGTGTGGGTGTGTGTGTGTGGATGTAAGTGTGGGTGTGTGTGTGGATGTAAGTGTGGGTGTGTGTGTGGATGTAAGTGTGGGTGGGTGTGTGGATGTAAGTGTGGGTGTGTGGGTGTGTGGATGTAAGTGTGGGTGTGTGGGTGTGTGGATGTAAGTGGGTGTGTGTGTGTGTACTCACCTATTTGTACTCACCTATTTGTGCTTGCGGGGGTTGAGCTTTGGCTCTTTGGTCCCGCCTCTCAACTGTCAATCAACTGGTGTACAGATTCCTGAGCCTATTGGCCTCTATCATATCTACATTTAAAACTGTGTATGGAGTCTGCCTCCACCACATCACTGCCTAATGCATTCCATCCGTTGTATGTATGTGTATGTGTGTGTGGGTGTGTGTGGGGTGTAAGTGATGTTCGTCACTGCCTTCTGAACTCTCTCTCTATATCTCTCTCTCTCTCTCAGGTACCTGTATAAGAACCGGATACGGGTTATTGAGAGCCAGGTGTTCCAAGAGCTGGGCAAGTTGGAACAACTGTGAGTACTGACTACTAACTTGTAATCACCCCCTTCACCCCCCCCCCCCTCCAGCATTGCCTCTAGAGTAAATTTACGATCACCCATTTTAAAATATTCCTCCTCTCTAATGTAACGTTGACATGCTATTTTACCTGTGGAAGTAAAGATCTCGGTGCTTTATGCATTAACACGTTATTTTCAACCAAAATATGATGGCACTATCAATGCTATTCTGAAGCTCGTAACTCAGAGCGGCCCGGACGTAGGGTCCTCCACACAATAGTGAATTAATACTCAAGTTCCCTCCCGCCATATTCAGTGCCACTCACTTCAAATATTACATTATTTCTTTTCAGATTTCATTGAGGATATTTCTAAGTTCACCAATAGTTATGCTATTGATGTGATTTGGATTTTTAAGATGTAAGTGTCCATGTGACATGATTTCCTACTGGCTGGTCACTGTAAACTATGTTCAACACTGTCAACCATGACCAATACTGTCAATCATGTCCAACACTGTCAACCATGCCCAATACTGTCAATCATGTCCAACACTGTCAGCCATGACCAACACTGTCAACCATGACCAATACTGTCAATCATGTCCAACACTGTCAACCATGCCCAATACTGTCAATCATGTCCAACACTGTCAGCCATGACCAACACTGTCAGCCATGACCAACACTGTCAACCATGCCCAACACTGTCAGCCATGACCAACACTGTCAACCATGCCCAACACTGTCAACCATGCCCAACACTGTCAACCATGACCAACACTGTCAACCATGCCCAACACTAGGGCTAGCTGAGCCCCACCATTTTCAACACTTCACAACCTCACTTGACCAGCACCCTCCCTCACACTCTCCACTAAATAGATAATAATGTTTTTATCCTTAAGTGAGAGTTAAGTGGCTTACACTAAGTTATTTAAGTTATTTACCTTTCATAGATTTTCTCGACCTCACAAAATGACAAATATGATCAACAATAACATGATTAGCCAGTATAGTTGATACAGTAAGGAATATGCAATCCTTGCCCACACACACACACTCACACAACCTCCTACCCATAAATCCATCTCCATGGCGTCCACTATGGAGAATGAGGCCCCCCTGCTCACACACCACGCTTGCAACTGACAATGCACGCCTTACTTGCATATTCGGCAACAAACTATGCTTAAACGCCCCCTCTCCTTCACCAGTTGAGATTTACAGACGCGTAAGATTAACACGTCAAGAGAATATATTTCGTGTGCTGAATATGTTAGTGTGGGAGCTGACCAGGTGAGGGCGCGGAGGAGTGTTGGGAGCCCGTCAAGGTGGCTGCCTCGCCCGTCTCCTCACCCTGAGGCCAGATTCACGAAAGCACTTACGAACCTGTATATCTTTTCTCAATCTTTGGCGGCTTTGTTTCCAATTATTAAACAGTTAATGAGCTCCGAAGCACCAGGAGGCTGTTTATAACAATAACAACAGTTGAATGGCAAGTTTTCATGCTTGTAAACTGTTTAATAAATGTAACCAAAGCCGTCAAAGATTGTGGAAAGATGTACACGTTCGTAAGTGCTTGCGTGAATCTGGCCCCTGGTTTCATTTATCACGTTTTCTAACGCACACAGCATGCTCTTCTGGTGGCTTGTTAGTGTATATTTGTTACTGGTCGTTGCTTACTTGTTAAATGTATCATGTGCACGTCCAGAATAATTGCTTTAAATGGAGTGGGGACACTTTGAATTCACTGCTTAATTATTCCTTTGTCATTGCTCAGTTGTTGCGTTTTTATTTGTCACGATAAGTGTGAGTCAAGAAGTTGTATGACAACTTGCAAGTGCAATATATCCTCATTGCTGTGTTGATCCCCAAATGCAGACACCCAACGCTGCCATACATTATCCACTCATAAGACTTAAGTAGACGAGTACCACCACGCCCGCACGCCCACGCTCCACCCCGCCTCCGCACACACTACCTCACTCTGCACACTCCCTCGTCATTGCAGGTACCTTCATTTCAACGACCTTGCAACATTCCAGGCAGACACCTTCTCCAATTTGCCCAACCTGGAACGGCTGTAAGTATAAAGTATCTTAAGCTAAGCTATGGATAGAAGTGAATGGTCAACTGCTCTGCCACCTCACGGGAATTCCTCCATTTATGTTCAGGCATTAGTTGCCACTGTCAAAACTTACCTGGAATTGTGTTCACTGTTGCGAGAGTTCGAGTGAGGAGGCAGGCTGGTCCCATGGGGCTAGGCTAAGTACTTAGTTGGGGTGGGTAGTTGGCCTAATGTCTCCTCCGCCTGTTTTACAGATACCTTCATTTCAACAAGATTGAAAAATTAGGAGCCGAGGTATTCTCCAACTTGAATAGGTTGCACAGGCTGTAAGTAATGGAATGTATAGAGGGAGTTGTGGATGATTTGCTAGCACGCTGCGCACCACTCGTTACCTAACGTCCTTATTCAGAATGATTCCAAGTACTTTCTCTCCTAGGAGCACAAGTAGCGGTGTTTGTAGTTAGTGTTTTTCTTGGTTATTTAGGACCTTGTGTATAAAGTTTCTCCTATCCTTTTGTTAGTATTCTTTGCATGGTGTAGAAAATGGAATCTCAAATCGTAGGCTATATATATAATGCCAGCATTAGATAAACAAAAATCAATAATAATAATACAAATATAATTAAGTTGCCACAGCTGAAAACTGTTACGAATATAGGGAGTGTGTAATGCTCTATACTACACAGTCATGCATATGTTAGTAGAATTTTCATGGTACCTTAAGTTACAACGTTTTCAACTGTGGAAATACTAAAGAGCGTCAGTAGTTGTGCCAAAAGCCCGTCCCAATTTCTCCTTTTTTTTTAAGACGATTTGCATATAAATGTTAAAAAATTTTATCCATTGCTTCTACGCAAAAACTTGAAAAGTCCCTGTTCATTACCCCGGGTTTATATTAATACTTCATATTTTCGAGAGCTTTAAGATCCTAGTCGGTGAAGGCAGCTTTCTTGCAGCACGGGTGTACCTTGATCTGTCCACAGCTAACACAGAGGAAGCTGCACATTGACTTAACATTTCATGTGCTGGAGAAAGTTCGAATGTGATCCAATAAGCAATCCGTCCTCAGACCAAGTCCATTCCATCCAGCGGTCGACCCCGAAGATGCATTCATCAAGTTTAACATGGTCTTCATTCAGAATAGGAATTTTCTCAAATATAAATTAATATTGTTATATATTAGTACACTGTGCATATTTAGGCATTAGTTAGATTAGGTTAGGTGTTTAGGTTCTGTTGGCAATTATATGTATTTGTTGAACGTGGGTGAAGCATTTACAGCGCTGTCGTTCGAACAAAAGTCGTCAGCGAAGCACTTGTTCGAGAAGTGTACGAACGTCATCAGTTGTGAGTTGTGAGTAAACCGTTTTTCATTCACAATCAGGGGGTTTGGCAGTGCATGGAATGGGCTTGAGCCTTTGTTAATGAGGATAGGCTGCAATGAGGATGCCAAAAGGCCTTGAGCTGCTACTTGGATTCTGTATTGGTTCGAGGCAATGGCACAGTTAATGCACTCCGTCAGCTAGGAAAGAACAACAGTCTTCAAGAAGTCTGCAGTCTTTCCAAATGCAGCAGTTTTGCTAAACTTGGTCCCGGTAGAAGAACTGTGACAAAACCCGCAGAGTATGTGATCTAAGATGCCTGAGAGACGTCACTGACGATGTGATCTATGATGCCTGAGAGACGTCACTGACGATGTGATCTATGATGCCTGAGAGACGTCACTGACGATGTGATCTAAGATGCCTGAGAGACGTCACTGACGATGTGATCTAAGATGCCTGAGAGACGTCACTGACGATGTGATCTCTGATGCCTGAGAGACGTCACTGACGATGTGATCTATGATGCCTGAGAGACGTCACTGACGATGTGATCTATGATGCCTGAGAGACGTCACTGACGATGTGATCTAAGATGCCTGAGAGACGTCACTGACGATGTGATCTATGATGCCTGAGAGACGTCACTGACGATGTGATCTATGATGCCTGAGAGACGTCGTCAGCTGGAACAAGACTAGTCCAACAAATCTTGTGGATCCTACCATCTTGGCCCAAGATGGTAGGATCTAATACCGTAGCCTAGTATTCGTAGTCTATCTTAACCTTACTTTGGGATACTATACTTATAATTTCAAGTACTTAATGTTCTATTTTCGGTATCAGATGCACAAAACACTTTAAACACGGTAAATCTTTTTTCTTGTAATGCATGTTTAGCTCATTAGTTGAAATAGTAATTTAGATACTTATAACTATGTAAATAGTATGTTAAAAATGTTATAGATTTGAGATTCATTGTGTATAATGAAAAACATTATTCAGAGATTAAACAATTACTTGTAATCCATCGAGACTACAAGTTTATTAGCATTTGAATATTAATTATAATTATATTTATTTTACGTTGCGCGAATCTTTACTGTTAAGCGTTTTTCATTACATAAAAATCTCGACTCTAAGACCTGTCAACACTTGCGGTAAAGAAAGGAGAAATAAATCATATAAACAAGGCCATAACACAGGTTCAAGTTCAAGTATGTTTATTGAGACAAGAAAGAAATACATCTCAAAGGGATAGAGTAGCTTAGGCTATTTCTACCCCCCTAACACAGGTTGTCTAGTCACTAGTGTTCCGAGGGCTGGTAGCCGGCTTAGGGTTCTGCTTCTGTTTATACGTCAATATACTTGGCCCATGTCGCCTTTAAAATATATATATACAGGCAAATTTGAGCTTTACTAGTTGCCTTCTTACCAGGTTTCGATGCATGTTTGTAGGTTTATATCATAAGGAACTTCGTACCGCAAAAGGCGAGCCTTCAGATTTATGAAGGTGTAATAATAAATCTGGCCTGTGGAAGGTAGTAGTAGTTTTAGATTCAGCTACTCAGAACAAAAGTTGCAAGTAGCACGGGCTATGGTGAGCCCGTAGTGGACTTACCTGGCACAGGAACGGGGCTGCGTGGAAGGAGATTGAGCTGCTCTTATACCCTTGTATGTAATTACTGTGTCCTGTAATATGGGGATTTTGTTAGGTAAAAACTACCTTCACTTCTGGTGTTAGTCCCCCCCCCCCCCTCTCTCATCTTCCTTATCAACTGGAAGTTTGTTTCCTTTGGCTAAAAAAAATATAATAGGCTAAAATATTTGAGTGTAGCCGTAAAAGAAATAAATTCCATTTTCTATATTGTCATACGTCCTCTGTTTTTCTTTATACGGATAACTTTGATAATATTCATTCTCCATTGGATCTTACTTCTTTCTTGTGCGTATTTATTGTCCATAAATAAATGGATTAATGAAGACAGTAATTCTTCCTGTAGTTGTTCTTAATTATATTTTCTGCTAACTAGTTCTTATTCCTCCATTTCTAGCTCGTCCTGCTTCTTAAATCTCTATTTCCTGTCAGCGACACCTTTTTTTTTTTTTTTTTGAGAGATAAATGCAAGAGTTGTTACATTCTTGTACAGCCACTAGTACGCGTAGCGTTTCGGGCAGGTCCATGGAATACGATCCCCGCCGCGAAGAATCGTTTTTTCATCCAAGTACACATTTTACTGTTGCGTTAAACAGAGGCTACAGTTAAGGAATTGCGCCCAGTAAATACTCCCCGGCCAGGATACGAACCCATGACATAGCGCTCGCGGAACGCCAGGCGAGTGTCTTACCACTACACCACGGAGACTGTGACTTTTTGGCTTCACCACGTGTCTTTGATCTCCCTTCCCCCCCCCCCCTCCCCAGCTTCTTCCTGTTTCCACCGAAAAGAAGTAAATAAATACAGTAAATACGACCGGTGGGTCGTATTTACTGTTGTATTTGTATTATTTATTTATACAAGAGTTTTTACATTCTTGTACAGCCACTAACACGTGGCAAGTCTTTAATCCAAATTTTTCACACACACCCAAGAAGCAGCCCGGAGCAGCTGTCTAACTCCCAGGTACCTATTTACTGTTAGGTGAACAAGGGGCATCCGGTGAAAGAAACTGCCCATTTGTTTCCGCCTTCGCCGGGGATCGAACCCGGACCTTTAGGACTATGAACACAGAGCGCTGTCTACTCACCCTCAGCCCCCCCCCCCCCTTGCTGTCTTTGCACGTATATAACTGTCTTTACTCCCATCTCTTTACGGGTTACTCATGCCCATGCCACCTATTGGGTGGCTTAATCTTCATCAATCAATCAACCACATCTCTGTTACGAGGTTACTATACCCCGTGCTACATGGACAGTTTGTTAGAGTAGTTGAATCTAAAATAACAACATACCATCTCTCTCACTCTGCTTTTGACAACAGCTCCAAGACGGTTGAATGCGGTAAAGGTATACATTTCACCTTTTAAATGTGGTATTCTTGTATTTAATAGATAAACTATTATATATTTATATATACATATATATATATATATATATATATATATATATATATATATATATATATATATATATATATTTATATATACATATATGGAAATTGTTTTGAGACAGAACATACCGAATGTGAGAGTTAACAGTTCACGTAATTAGGTTCCTAGAGATTTTGTTACCAATAATTGTGTTCAAAGTGATTGTCCGGTTTATTTATTAAATCAACGACCTTCGTCAAATGGGTTAGTTTCATTGGGTTCACCGTAGCCGATGTGTCATATCTGATGTGTCAGAATTATCTGTGAAATGGTGTTGTCATCAGATAAATGTGTGAGTAGAATAAGATAGCTTGATGATGACCACTTGATGGACGTATTCGATAGTGAACAAATCATTAAAAACATATACCAGTACTAAATTATTACGACCAGCCCGATGGCGAGTGTATGATGGACCACGAAATCACAAAAACGTGATATGTATATCCAAGATAAAATATTGGAAGCCACACAATAGGATCGAACTCACGGAGATGCGAGGTTGACCCCCATCAAATGATCTTAATATTTTCTCTGGTATAACGCTTCCTAACTACTTTACAGGTTCCTGCACAACAATCGCCTCCAGAGGGTCCCTCAGGGTGCCTTCTCCAACCTGCAGGCCCTCAGACGTTTGTAAGTATCACCATGAAAAGTAGAAGTGTGTAAGGGAGTGGCGGGGAGGACGAGGGGAAGGGCGAGAGGGGCAGAGCTGGAGAGGGACGGTACGAGGGGAGGAGGGGGGAGCAGGGAGGCCGAAGATAGATGGGTGGATAGATAGATAAATAAAAAACAAATAAAAAATAAAATAAAATGTTTATTTAGGTAAGGTACATACATACAATAAATTTTTACAAAGATTGGTTGACTTATAGGTAGAGCTAGTACATACAATGCCTAAAGCCACTATTACGCAAAGCGTTTCGGGCATGATAAACTTAAATGACAAGCTTAATACTAATTGAGCATAATGAGTAGAATGAAAACAAGAAATGAAAACATAGATGAAAAAGCAGCACAAATACAATTATGTCGACAAACAGCGCTCTTTAAAAAAAACAGACATTGGTTGACAATAGAAGGGTAAGGTAGGTTACAGGGAATTTATTAGGTATAGCTTCGTTTTTAACTTAAACTGGTTGAGAGAGGTACAGTCTTTAACATGGTTGGGAAGGTCATTCCACATTCTGGGCCCCTTGATTTGTAGAGCATTTCTAGTTTGATTAAGTCGTACTCTAGGAATATCAAAACTGTATTTATTTCTGGTGTGGTACTCATGGGTTCTGTTACGTCCTTCTATGAAGCTTTTGAGATCAGGATTGGCATTACAGTTTAGCGTTTTATATATGTATAATACACATGAGAGAATGTGCAGTGACTTAATGTCTAACATATTCAGAGATTTGAGTAGGGGTACCGAGTGATGCCTGGGGCCAGAGTTGGATATTGTCCTAATAGCAGCTTTGTGTTGAGTAATTAGAGAACGTAAGTGATTTTGGGTAGTAGAGCCCCAAGCACAAATACCATAGTTGAGATATGGATAGATAAGGGAGTAATAGAGTCACCAGGGCAGGGCGTGGTACATAATATCTGATCTTAGAAAGAATGCCCACAGTTTTTGAAACTTTTTTTGATATATTTAGAATGTGTCCCTGGAAATTCAGCTTGTGGTCGATGAGAACGCCAAGGAATTTGCCATCTAATTTGTTACAAATTTGGGTATTGTTTATTTTGAGATTTATTTGATTAGAGGATTTATTGCCAAACAGAATATAGAAAGTTTTGTCAATGTTAAAGGTGAGTTTGTTGGCAGTTAGCCAAAGATGGACTTTATTTAGCTCAGTATTTACTGTGGCATTTAGAGCAAGGGGGTCAGGACTGGAGTAAATGAAGGTTGTGTCGTCAGCAAATAGAATTGGTTTGAGGTGTTGGGAGGCATTTGGAAGGTCATTAATGTAGATGAGAAAGAGGAGAGGGCCAAGTATGCTGCCCTGAGGAACACCAATGTTGATGGGTAGGGTGGGAGAAAATGGATGACTAGATGGATTGATGGATAGACGGATACAGATGAGTAGATGGATAGAGTTTATCCATCTGAATTTACCTAAATTCAGGTAAATTCAGAGCTATATATATGGATAGATACAGGGGTAGATAGATGGTTTACTAGAGGGATAGATAGAAAGACATATAGATGGATGGATGGACTGATATATGGATAGATGGATGTATAAATAGATAAATAGAAGGATATATGGACAGAAAGATGAGTAGTTGGATGGATAGCTGAATAAATAATAGATGGATAGATAGAACGATATGCCTGTATATACAAGAAGGTACAGTGGGACCTGTGTAAATACACATGTTGGTAATTACGGGGTTCACTCTTGCAGTCACTAATGCACATAGCGTTACCCGCAGATCCTAAAGCTGAACTAGATGGTGAAAAAGTTCATTTTGAATACAAAAATAAAAGTAATGACAGGTACATAACAGATTTTGAATTAGCATAATTGCTATATATCAATATAAAGAGTTGCAACGTGGCCTCAGGGAGGAAATATACTCACGGGAATGGATTGAGAACGACTACATAATTAGTGCTATTATCTACTCTCTGTCTATGGTTAGGTTAAGGTTACTTCTGGTTAATGTATGATTAGGTTAGGTAGGGTTTCATGATGTTAATACGGTTAATAATTCTAAAACTATTTGAGTGTACCCAAGAATTCCATTTACAGAAAAAACTAATTCTTCAAAGAAAACGTTTTCGGCATACACTATATTTTAAACCAACTATTTATAATACAATAAAGTTATAACATGAGAATAATCTTTATTTAGGACAAAGGTTCATTTCCAAGTTTATGTGTAGAACATTACTGGAACCGTACTATGCTTTCAAGCCATCATAAGTATTTAGATAACTATCCAGGTGTGAATAGGCATCTAGATAGGGGGGGGTGTGATTTCCCAAGGTAATGAATTTGGTCTGAGGATGGGCTCGGTGGTGATAAAAGACATTACTTTGGTGTAGTTATATGTCTAGATAATAAAGTAGCAAAAGTTTGGATGAAATTAGGTACTTCATTGTTAACTCTACTTTTAAATAAAGTATAAATTGAAAAATGTTTTCATTTCATTAGGGGGTTCCACATACTGGGTCCTTTTATTTACATGGCGCGTTGGCATAGGTTTAGCCGGACAATGGGAATGTCAGAGATATATTTATTTCTGGTGTGATGTTCATGGGGTCTATTATATCCGTCTAGGAAGAGTTTCAAAAAGAATTAGCATTCAGGAATAAGGCTTTGTGAGAGTAATTTAGGATAAGACTTTGTAAGTAAGCACAAGATTATATGCGGAGTGAATGTAGGTTTATGGATGGAACCACGAAGTGTTAGTTTAGTTCATTTATTATTCACCCTATACCCATCTTGTGGGCGGTAGTGGAAAGGGTTACAGAGACACATAATGGGCTCAGGGTTGAACCCCCACAATTCATTTAGCTAAGCAAGTTAATATCTTGTTGAGCTAGTTACAAAATTCCGTCCACGAAGTGTGTTGTGTAAAGACAGAATTTGTTATATTGTAGTTCTAATAGCTGATTTTTGCTGAGTGATGATTGAGCTCGAGGTAGTTTGGCAGTGATTGTTTTCCCATGCACAGACGCCATAAGTTCGATAGAAACAGATTAGTGAGTAGTATAGCGTGACTAGAGCAGAGTGAGGGCATAATATCTGATTTTTAAGAGTATACCAACAGTTTTACAGACTTTCCGGCAATGTGATGTATGCGAGTACTAAAGTTAAGTCTTTTGTCAATAGACAAAGGAGCTTTTCCTCACGTGTACTATCAGTGTTAACTAACAGCCCCTCCCCCTCCCTGCAGGCGGCTGGACTCAAATGCACTGGTGTGCGACTGCCAACTGATGTGGCTGGCACAGATGGTGAAGGAGAAGCAGCACACTACCCAGGTCGCTGCCACCTGCCAGTTTCCCTCCGTACTCCAGGGCAAGAGCCTCACTTCAATAAACGGCTCAGAGTTCCAGTGCCGTGGTAAGCCCGGTCATGTGGTCGTGAAGAGTGGAAGGAGGGTGGCAAGGGCTTCAAATAACGAAGGATTGGGCTGGGTAGGATCAGGGAGGGAGGGGGGGGTGCGGATTGAGTGCTAGCCAGTCACGGGACACTGGAAATTATATTTTCCATAAAATTGTCAGTGGGTATGCTGAGAGGCAGTTACTATGTCAATAGTCAGGATGTTTATTAGGCAGACAGTGATGATTGGAATACAAATCACAAGGGTCAGGAAAGGCAAGATATAGGAAAAGTTGGGGGGTGGGTGGGCAAGGCAGTGGTCAAGCAGGGGATGATTACAAAGCCGGATATCATCAGCTATCATCAGATATCATCAGTGGCATATGCTAGATTCTCCAACAGGAAAAACTGCCTTTAGAAACTTGTGTGAGGAATCGTTCAGGACCTTGTATACCACCTACATCAGACCAATCCCAGAGTATGCAGCTCCAGCCTAGTTAAACACAAGACAAAGTTAGAGAAGATTCAGAGGTATGCCACCAGACTAGTCCCAGAACTGAGAGGTATGTGCTACAAAGAAAGGCTAAATCTCATGTCCCTGGAAGACAGAAGAGTTAGGGGATACATGATAACTACCTACAAAATTCTCAGGGGAAACTTCTTAGTATCCAAATGAGCCACATACACATTAGAATAAAAAAAATCAGTGTCAGAGTAGGTAACAAATGGAATTCATTAGGCAGTGATGTGGTGGAGGCTGACTCTATACACAGTTTCAAATGTAGATTTGATAGAGCTCAATAGGCTCCAGAATTTGTACAACAGTTGATTGCCAGTTGAGAGGCAGGACCAAAGAGCCAGAGCTCAACACTTCCAAGCACAACTAGATGAGTAAAGCAAGAAGGGAGACTTGGCAGAGACTTTTAAAAGTAACATTTTACTAAGAATGTTTATTCAAGGAGAACAGGTGCTGGGGTTTGATAGAGGTAGGGGCCAGATATTCTCATGACGTGTATCCTTACCTATGTACTATTAATCACCCAGGTAAACCACTCATCAAGGAGGGACCAATAGATGTGGATGTCAGATTTGGAGGAACTGCATACTTCACGTGCAAGGTTGAAGGTGACCCACAGCCTAAGGTCACATGGTTTCACAAGTAGGTGATGTTAGCACATCTTATTTCTCCCCTTATTTTATCAATACTTCCATTACTGACAAATATCTAAACCAATAAGTCATCATAAGTATGGAGTTGGATGTCTCTGCTGGTCACTGATCTTATACTTTATTTATATACGAGAAGGTACATTGGGTACCTTCTTGTATATAAGGTACATTGGGTACCATCTTGTGAAGGTACATTATTGAATGACTGTTTTCAGGTAAAAAAATTCATTAGTTATCAGACAAAAAAAAATCATTAGTTTTATGGAATATTCCAGCATTCACTAAGTATCTTATTCCTTCTAAACTAAATCAGTTTATGGAATCGTATAATGAACATTATAACAGACATTTAAAAATTATGGTTCTACTGAAATCTGTACAGTATGGTACACTATATATTGATTTATTATATACCCTACTGTGATTATTGCAAACTTACCAGGAAAATTTCCCAATTTTTTTAATCTTTTGCAGCTTAGCAATAAATAGATCAACTATCTTGAATGAAATTAAAATTAAAAGGAGGTGTATTGTATTTAGAAAAAGAGAATTCTTGTACTGTACTGTACTGTATATATGTATTGCACACTACTTATCATATACTGTAGGCTTTGTACACAATTTAAAGAAGTGGATTATGATAATATTTATTCATGGGTCACTTTAAAACATGTTCTCATTATTTATTTCGTGCTTTTTATTAAGTTTGTAAATTTTAAATGTAAAGTTGCTTCTTTATCTTGGTATTACTTTGGTAAAAATAGCATATACTGTAACACATTATGTATGTACAGTACTGTATATTAAATTTTAGTTTTGTGTAAAAAAAAAGCAAAAAATTATTTGCTCTATCTTACCGGTATATAGAAATATAGACACACCAATTCCTCAAGTTCATCTCTGCATGGAAGGAATTAAGTACTGTACTGTATACTCAAATATTACAGTATTGGGTTTTCAGGATAAAAGCTAAATAAATGTTCTAAAAGATTTATGGTAATGTAATGAGTAGTTAGTGAGTCATTCTTCAGTCTAATTCAAAAGTTACGGTTGTTATACAAAAGTACTTAACTGAAGCCATTTCTGACTTGATCCTACAGTAACGAGGTGATCAGTGACAATGATCGGTACAATATCCTGACTGATGGAACACTGATGATCGAAAATGCCCAGGATAACGATGTTGGCTTCTATGAGTGCATGGCCACTAATCTTATGGGTGAAGTGAAGTCACGCAAAGCTAAGATGGCACCTGAAGAACAACAAGATGAAGTCAGGAATGAGCAATGTAAGTCACAATATGCTTAGTACCCAATTTTTGTTTTGTGTATTTCCTACTTGAACGAACTATATGGGGCAAAGCTGATATGTTACATAAGAGATTTTATTCAACTCATCACACCCCTACACATGCACATTTTACGTACCCCCTTTACCTTTACACACTTTTTTATTGCTTTATATTACATATTTCTTTACACATGACCCCTTTACATACACATGCCCCCAGGTGTGTATGTAAACCACTTAAAGAAATTAACACAATGAATACAGTAATGTGAAAATGTGTGATCATGAAGGAAAATGTAACACGACACACTTGATCACTTAAGTGTATATTTCACCACGTCTTCAGAAGTACTGATACAGTGTGTACAGGGGGTATGTATATATATAGTAATGAATAAGGTAAAGTTACACGTCAAGTGGAAAAGTAGTCTATTAATTAGGGTCCATGGACATAAACTGCTGAAGGCCATTGGCCCTCATGAGGCAACTCCCAATTATGTTAATTTTGTTAAATGTCCAAGTGGTAATAGTTACATGGTAATTATTTTACTTATGATAATTTTTTTTTTATATAAATCGGTTAAACCCTTGATATTTTTTAATTAATTTGTGTATACAGTATGTGTTATTGAATATGATCAAAAGGATTAGATAAATGATTCTAGTATAAATCTAATTTGTATTTTATCTGCTCTTCATTTGGAAAGAAAGTTCAAAAGTTAACTCTACAAAGTTGGTTTTGTAATTTCATTGTACTGTATATGTAGTAATGTAGTTAACCAGAACCCATTAAAAAATATATTGTTTTCAACACTTTCGCTGGACGATAAAACTCTCGGAGTCATCAAAACAATACACATAGTTCGGGGCATGACATCAATGCCATCATCTGTTTATTTTTGCTTATTCTTATTAGTAAGTATAAACACTGTGAGTGAAAAAGTTTAACATTGTTTGTGCGCTTACAGGCAATGCCCGGGCTACCTTGCAGTGTGATGCAGGTGGCCTGCCAGGTCGGCCAAAGTATTAATATCATACTGTACAATAACGTTTTCATGTACTAGTGGCCTATGATTATTGTCAAATCACAATTTGGTCTTTTCCACCTGTTTCAATCTATTTCTGGATGATGTTCACCAGGGCCAGAATTCATCAAGTATATGCACAACCACATACAAAAGCTGTACATCTTTCTTCAATTATGTTAGCTTTGTTTACATTTATTAAATAGTTTATGAGCGTTAAAACTTCACAGCCCAAGGTTATTATCGTTATAAACAACCTGGTGGTGGCTTTTGAGATCATAAACTTTATTTAATGTAACTAAAGCTCTTGTGATTAGGGGAAGATATTCAGGTTTCATAGGTAGTGATGGAGATGCTTGATCAGGGTATAGCAACAGAGGAGTTGGTTGCAATTCACTTACTTTTGAACTGTGCCACGGGCAGGTTTACATGTTACATTGTAGGCATACAGATTACATTGTAAGCTTATGTACAGTATTTAGTTAGGGTTTTTATTAAATATGTGTGCATAAATAGTTATTTAACACCCAAAAATAATGTAAACTAACATGTGAAACCACGAATATAAAAACCATCCAACTTGATCATTAGAGCCCTCTCACCCCCTCTGATCATTAGTCTGTAGCATGCAGACTACATGCAATGGATTCAAAAGTTGATAACATGGAAACAGATTGGTTTGGGGGACAAATATAAGGGTGCAAGGTAATCTCTAAAACCTGAGGTTAACTTCTGTTCTGCAAATACAAATAAGTATGTACATTTACACACATTCACAAATGCACACACACATTAATGTATACAGTTTTATATTAACATTATTTATTTTCACATGTCTAGAAAAAATAATAATGATCATTTTTGTTCTATTAATTAGTTTCAGTTCCTGCCAAGCCCCGTTTTCTTCGGTTGCCAAGTGATGTGAATGTTACGGAGGGTTCTCCTGTGGAAATTGAGTGTCAAGCGTCCGGAATTCCCAAACCTGACATCATATGGACAAGAAATGATGACCCTATAATTGAAGGTCCAAGGATTCAGGTTGGTGAGCATTATTCATTAGTTGATATTAAGGCTCATGAACCATAGCCAAGGGCTTTATGCAGTACTGTATTTAAAGTCTAATGCTTCAGTCATTAGACTGATTGGTACAATATGTCATTTGATATTCATTTGTCTATGGATAAACATTAATTGGATATAATGTACTAATTAGTTTTGTTTCTAGATATTTTAATTTCTATAAATGGTTTTCTTAATTTAAGAAATAAGTATACAGTATACTGAACTGTATAATGCTAATTCGGGTTTGTGAGTTTGTCTTGTATGGTGCCCACAAGAATGGTATCTCAAGAAGCACATCAATAAACTGGAAAAAGTGGAAAGACTTACTACAAAATGGCTTCCAGAACTGAAAAACGAGAGCCAAGAGGAGAGGCTAGAGGTGTTACATATCCCAATGTTAGAAGACAAAAGAAAGATGGGTGATCCAATCAGAGCAATTCTTGAAATTCTTGAAAATTCTTGAAATTCTTCTATAACAAGAGGTCATAGATTTGAGTTTAAGGGAAATTAAGGAAACAAAGCTGTTAAAAAATATTAGAAAGTTCTCTTTTGCAAGCAGAGTGGTAGATGGTTAGAACAAGTGAAGTAAGGTGGTGTTGGCCAAAACTGTCAATAGTTTCAATCCGTCATTTGACAAAGTACTGAAAAGACGGGACACCACGAGCATAGCTCTCGTCTTACAACTTCATTTGCGTACAGTAACCACACTTGGGTAATTACAGTACACCTGTAGTTTTTTCTGCAAGATAACAAACAAGTGGAATTTAGTTATGTGCTGCAGTTTATTTATTCATTCATTATTACAGGTGTCTAGCCGTGGAACATTCTCAATTTCATCAGCTATTCGAAATGATTCTGCAATTTATCGATGTATTGCAGCCAACCCACTTGGACGAATTGCTGCATCGGCTACCCTCAGAATTCTTGGCAAGTATATTTTTTAGTTATTTGTTTAGTAAAAACTTGATCACCTGCACTGAACTGCATAATATTTTATCACAAACTGTATGGTGAAAGTTCATGCCTTTACTGCCAGATGACCTCATTAATTATATTAATTTATATTTTCATCAATATATTACAGTATATAGTACACTAATGCTAAACAATTATTAAACAAATAAATAATTTATAGTTTGTCACATTAAAAAGATGTATACTGTGTATTGATATTTTTTTACATCTTGATTTTATTGTATTATTACTCGATTTACATTTTGCAGCTCCACCAGTGCTAACAGTAGAACCCGACGACAAGTATGCTAGTCCAGGCTCAAGCATCCAGTTCACCTGCCAGGCTGATGGAGTGCCTCCTCCTATCATCTCCTGGTTTAAAGATGGCCAACCCATTGTTCCTTTTGGAAGCTTGACAATTTCCCTACGTGGTGAGTTTTGCAACTGTTAAAGCAACTTTCATACTCTTCTTCAGTACTCCAGGTGATTTGAACCTTTCCTCATTGTGATTTACCTGAGGCCATTAACACACTAGTGGCCTTTACAAGGACAGGGAGCCGGTGGCTTGTTAAAGGTCCCTCCATTTGCCCTGATAATATTTTCCAGATGGATTTTAAAATTTGCATTTAGACATTTATGACTTTGGTGGGTAGACAGTTCCATGGATCTACAACCCTGTGGGTGAAAAGCATCTCCTGTTACAGTCTTACATTGTGGCTTGTTGGGCTTGAAACTGTTGCTCCTTGTTTGTTTTACATTTTACCTTTTGAAGAAATTGTTTGAATCAACATCCTCCAAATTGTTCAGTACAGTACTGTATTTTAAAAGTTTCAATGAGATCTGCCCTGTCATGCCTGGTTTGCCGTGTTGTTACCCCTGAGGCCCTCAACTATTCCTGGTATGAGAGTTAACTTAGTTCTGGAATTATTTATATTGCCCAGTGTTGTACTTTCTCCAAAAGCAGCTATGTCCTTCTGAAGATGAGGTTTCCATGCTTGGATACAATAATCCAAGTGTAATTTGAATTTGCACCAGAGATTTATACAGTTGAATCACTACCTGCTTTTCCTTACAGTCAAAGGTACACTTGATTATTCCTAGGGTTTGGTTAGCTTTTTTTTTTTTTTTTTTTTTTTTTTCTTACTTCTGCCCCTACTTGTTGTGTAACTTTCAGTGAATGGTGGATTTTGACTCCTAGGTCCTTTTCTTCAACAGTCTACTGCAAGGTAATGTTATTAATTTGGTAGCTGTGAGGTGAGTTGTCATGCCCCACATGCAAGATCTTGCATTTTTCTATAATAAAAAGCATTTGCCAGTCTTCTGACCATTTGTAGAGTTCATGTAGATCTCTTTGTAAGGCTTCAATATGATTTTTACTTCCCACTTTACCATATAATCTTAATGTCATCTGCAAGTTTGATGTGGTTTGTAATATTCTCATCTATATCAGCGACTGGATATAAATTTAAAGATAGTCTATTTGCTCAATTAAAGCAGTACAAGACACACGCTTTTTATTTAGTTTCCATAATAATAATAATAATTATTATATCAACAGGTATCAGTCTTGGAGTGCAGCATGTAAAGCCTTCAGATGAGGGAGAATACACTTGCCGTGCTCAGAATGCTGCAGGAATGCAGGAAGCTTCAGCAACACTTTATGTTCGTGATAAGGTACTGTAATAATAATTTTGTAACTATTTCTGTAGTGTGTATTCATATACCTGTATTAATGCTTATGAAATAGTTCATTGCAAGTGATAATAATAGTATATATGAAAACATAGTATGACAATGGGTAGGCGTAAACTAATTCCTCTAGGTTCCTGCACTACCTACTGTACCATGATGGGCTAAAGAGACAAGAGTTCAATCCTGTCCATTAGTCTGCCTTCTACGAAGATTGAGATAGAACTTCATTACCATAATATTATTTTGGATCAGCCATGTTATTGTAATTTTGTTGTGCAATAGCATTTGTTGTTTCATTATGGTACAACAATTTTTAGAACTAATTTTAATTCCATCATTCATATTTTTATGTAGGTTGATGAATTATTTATCACTATTTTTCTTTTTGTGTGTGGTTTTCTTACTAGGTAGCTCCCGTTATCCGCAAGGAGCCTCGCGATGTCTCGGCAGTCAGTGGTCAAGAAGTGATTGTGTTACCCTGTAAGGCTGATGGTCGACCTAAACCATTAATCAGTTGGCGCAAAGATGGTCATGATATGGAAACTGATAGCAAACATAGGTGAGATAATAGGAACTAGTTAGCTACCTTTTTAGGAGCAACCTGTCACTGGATTCATTGAGTAGTTTAATAACATATATAGGTATATCTTGTTAACACCTTGTATACAAGGCAGATGAACTAAACAGCAGATTTTCTCATTCCAGACATCAGCTTAAACATATCTTAGTGTCTTTCATAAGAATAATGACTTATGGCATAACACACATGTTAATACAGTGGAGTATATGGAAGTAATTATGTTCATATAACTTATATATTCAAATTCATATTTTCCTAGAGTTGAGACTGATGGTTCATTGTTCGTATACAATGTTACTGAAGACGATGCCGGGATGTATGAATGTAACGCTCAGAACCACATTGGGTATGCCACTGCCCGTGCCAGAGTGACTGTAGAGGGTAGGTTGTAATTATTTTTATTAATTTAAATTCTTTGTAAGCCCCTTCCTCCTCTGTAGCTTTCTAGTACCTTAGGAATGACCTTCTCACAGGATAGTGCTAGTTTGCCAGGTTCTGAGTGATGTTTTGCTACAGAGGCAAATACCTCTTCAAATTGTCTTTTCCCACAAAATAAGAATATACCTCAATCCACAACTGAGAATACACCAATCACTAAGAACAAAACATTTCAAACCACTCAACACACCCTCCAAACAACCCTTATCAACTCAAAAAATGTCAAGAAATGTTTTGAATTACTTAATCACAGATTAACCAACTACTGTATACAGTACTAATTGCCGCTAGTGCCAGCCATTCTGAGTAAACAAGGTTGGGGGAAGGGAAATATTCTCACATTTACAACTGACACAGTCCTACTACAGTGCCTTTCTAAATAGACCAAATCAATCAGTTTAGTGCTGACTCGTTTTTCATGTCTGCACAAGGTCAGTTACTTAAGTATAGACGTAACGGACAATTAGAAAGTAGAATTTGGCACTGTTGGATTTTGAAAAACGGTAAAAGGTTTTGAATGTGTATTAAAACGAACATAGTCCACATAGTTACAAAAAAAGGACTATCAAAACAGGAGGATGGGTTGGAATATTTCAGTTGCTCTTGAGTAAACTGAATACACTATTTAGAAAAAGGATAATAAACAATGTTGAGAGTTGATTAGAGAAGAAACATTTTGACCTTCTTTTTCTGGGCAACGCCTGTATTGCTGTAGCACTGTCTTTACTTCCAGAGGATCCAAGACCTCATATTGGAGACCAGTTCTTAGACCAGAGCTTTGAGGAAGCTCGTCACCAAGTGGACAGAGCTGTCAACGACACTATAAGGTTGGTTGTATTTCAGATACGTACCTGTTTATTTTCCAGTCATTAATTTACATTAAAAATACAAGGTTTTTAAATTTAAAATCTATTAACCATGCTAAGCAGATTGATTCTGATTCAAGAACTAAAACAAAAAAGTGTGTCCTATTTAACTTCTTGAAGATTTATTTTTGTTAATTTAAATTGCAAAGAAAGTTTGTCAATCAAATTTATAGAAGAATAAGCAATAACTAGAGTATCCAGATCAAATTTGAGGAGGAAAAAGATGACATAATCCACCTCAGGAAAAATGAGATATGCATTCCACGGCCCTGGCAGCAGTGGAAAAATACCCCCCTTGAGAAAGTGCTCATAGTCAGATGTGGCCCAGTGAGAACACCACACTGCAAAGGTGGAGCATGACCAAGCCGTGCAAAAGATGCAGAAGGTTCTGACCTGAAGCTGAAACTGCCCTAGCACAAGCTAGAGCTTGGAAGCATAGCCATAAAAGGCCAATTAAATGAGAGAAAAGGAGGTTGGCCTAGCAACCCAGACCAGGCCCAGGCCATCCAAATTCTGAGAAGGCACCGTGATAGTGGGTGTTGGCTTGTGGGAGGTGTGTGTGGTGTCTGCATGTGCAAGGTGGGTGTTTGTGTGGGTGTTGGCATGTGGTAATGGGTGTCTGAATTTGGGAAGTGGATGTTGGAGTGTGTGTTGGGGTGTTAGAATATGGGTGCTAGTGTGGGGGGAGTTTGTTGGAGTTGTATTGCTGGGGAAATGACAATTTTGCTGAGATTTGCAGCTCTTGCATGTCCTCAGTGACTCATGCAGTCACACACAATTGGAGTAGGATCACAAACACCCTCGGTGGAGGCCTTGGTGATGGAAGATGGGGAAGAGGGAACTTGCCCTATGCAACAAATTGCAAATAGCTTTACCCAATATTGCATATATTTGTTTGTTTAAGGGTCCTGGTAGTATAGTCAGGAAGGATCCCAGTAGTACAGTCAGGTTTGTTCTCGACACACAATCGAAAATTCCGAGTTCGTATCCTGAGCAGGACAGAAATGAATGGGAACATTTCCTTTCACCTAATGCGTCTGTTCACCTAGCGGTAAGTATTTACACAGGAGTTAAGTCAGCTTGTGGTGTAGTTACATCCTGGGCCAGGTCAATAATTTGACCTTAGGGGGTGGGATGACCTTGATAAAAGCCTAACGTGTATGAATATGCTCTGGCTTCCTGTCCGCTGACACAATTAATTATTATTAATAAAAAATATTTAAATATTTAAAAGAAAGTACCTGTACAGTGGTTTTGCAATAAATTTAAGCTTGTTACATCATCCAATGGCACAAGATCAGCACTCATAAGGGTTGAGTATATGCATTGAGTATATATATATGTGTATACACACACATACACACCAAAAGGAGGTAGTGTTAGAGCCTAATGGGAAGCAATACAGGTACAGTATATTGATCATGCTAAATGCGATGCATGATCAGTGTATTGCTCAATAGTGTGTGCCTGCCTATTTGTACAGCAAAGGTGACCAGAGCCCACTTCTGTGAGACCCATGGATAGCGCTTTTGCTGACTCGTTCAGGTCTGCTGCAGCTGTGGACAGGATTAAGAGATTGTCCTTGATGCCACATCAAACAGCTTCTGTGAAGATTGACCTCGGTCTTCACATAGCATAGACCAAGAGCCTCCAAAGGAAAGTATCATGGGCAGATGGTTGCTTCCTAGATACAGTCTTTTTCCATTTGCCATTGCAAAGAGACTTATCCGGATGCAATGGTTGAGTGTGTGAACAAATCCCCAGAGTAGAATACGGTGATTTCCAGACTTGGTGGTGTCAGCAGATCAGTGGAATTGAGGAGGAAATGGGATAGGGCTCATAAAGTACTTATGATTGTGAACCTATACTTCCAAATGGCTATGTGAGTGTTGGGCATTGAATCCCCCATAACAAGATGGGCATCTATGATTTGGTTAAAGTAATGGAAAACTCACCGGATGTTATTGATTTACAAATAGTTGCTATAATAAGGCATTTAGTAGGCTACATTTTGTGATGTCAGGAAAATCTGAAGGCGCATTTGACCAAGATGAGAGGGAATAGATATGAAGGAAGCCTGAAAGTAATAAGCCATTAGTGTATTAAGATAATGTATATTTACTGTAAATAAAATACATTCTTTATAGATGTTTAACAAGCTGGCTCACTTGTAATGATGGCAACCCTTAATAGTTATATTATACTACCTTTGCAGCCAACTGTTCCAGCGAGACAGAAGCCGTTCGCCTCATCCTCATGAGTTGCTTCGTATTTTTCGTTTCCCCTCTTCTGATGGACGGGAGATAGCGAGGGCAACAGAAATGATTGAACAAACTCTGAAAATTGTAATGAGGCATGTGGAATCAGGCATGGTGTTCAACCTCACAAGTGAGTTTTGAATGAAAATATATTGCAAAATAATATTTTAAATTAATAAATTTTAATGAAATATACTCTAGCTATACCAGTATAATACACTGTATTGATCAGAATTGTAGCACATACAGTACATATTGGTTCTTAATTATATTGTCTTGTCTGTTATTTGGAACATGTTCTATCTCAACCTCAGTCACCATTGAAAACATACTATAAAATAAGTTTATCATCATCTACACACTTTGTTGTTGATGTGAATGCTAGTCTTAGTATTTCAAGAATGTTAGGATAATGATAAATGTTGAAATAATTATTTTTCATAATGGTTTTAATGGATGTACAGTATTTAAATTATTTATTGAAACTATAAATATAAAGATATGGCATCTACATTCACATTGCTGCACTTTTGGCAGCGTTCAGCTACCAGGACCTGCTTTCTCCTGAAAAGTTGTATTTGCTGAGAAACCTTTCTGGATGCCTGGCCCATCGACGAACAGTCTACTGTGACGACATGTGCTTCCATACAAAATACCGCACCATTGATGGCACCTGCAACAATCTCCGCAACCCACTATGGGGAGCTTCGTTAACAGGCTTCAGACGTGTTTTGAGTCCAATTTACGAAAATGGATTTAATACACCTGTTGGTTAGTCACTGGTAAAGTTATATAAGTTAAGAAAAAATTACATTAATTTTATAAACACAAGATTATAACTGATGTTAATTCATATTTCTTAGCTGCTGCTAGTGGGTCGATGCTTTTTCTAAAGGTATGTATGTAAGTGCGTGAGTGTACATGAGGGTATGTATGTACTATATGTAAGTGCGTGAGTGTACATGAGGGTATGTATGTACTATATGTAAGTGCGTGAGTGTACATGAGGGTATGTATGTACTAATATGTGGGTATGTATGTACCTGTATGTTATATATATGCTGCATTTAAATAGGGGTACACCTCTGCTGCAATTGTGGGACACATATTCCTGAAAAAGACAATAAAATGGTATTCAGAGAAGACTTGATAGATTCTACCAGAACACTTGAGTATTTTCTTGTTCCACTCTTAATTCCTAATAATTTTATACAATGTGACATTTATTTAAATTATTTTATTACGTTGTTACAATTTACAGAAAACATGCTGTATATTATATACAGTACAGTATATGTGTGTGAATGTATGGATATATGAATGCATTTATTTATAAGAATGTACGTACGTGTATATACTGTACTTCGCTCTGCATTTTTTACACTACAGGGTAGTGCTATTATGCTTTGGATATTTTTTGTTAAAAAATTTGTGTAAAAATATATTTTGCAGTCAAACCTGTTTGAACTGTGAATTTTAGTCTGTGAATTTTAAGGCTCTATTAGTTATTCTCTTGAAAATTAATATTTAAATGAGGGTGAGTAAATTGTCAATGATAAACAAATCCACAAGGGCTGTGACGAGGATTCGAACCTGCGTCCAGGAGCATCCCAGGCACTGCCTTAAAAATTAGTCATTTGATGCATCACGTTGGTGTGATCTCTGTGTGTGTTGTCAGTGATATCAAATGTGCATAGCTGGGAAGTCCCGATAAGGGCGTGATTGCTTTGTGTCTGGGTCCGAATGCTACATAATCAAAAATATTTCTATATGCCAAAATGTTTACTCAATAAAAACATCTTTTTTTCAAAAGATAAAGACAATGTGAATAATGTTCAAGACAACTTAAGACTACCTTTTCATCACATATTGTAGGCATAGCTAGAGAAACTGGGAAAGTTGTTTATTTTGTATATATTCATATTTTATTAGTTCTTTTAATTTTTCAATATTTTCTTTGTGGGCAGAGACTTGTCTTGCTGAATAGGGACTACAAAGGTGTTTTCTTTTCCAGTGATGACATTTATGGATAGGATATTTATTAATTATTCTCATTAATATTTATAATTTCACAGCAAAATGAAGTCCTTTAAACTCTCATAAGGTAAAGTTAAAGCTAGTTAAACATACTTGGTACTAAAGTCTTTGAGGTATTAGTTAATAGACCTTCATTTCCTTCAGTAATATGGCAATCTTGTATACCCAAGTCTCATATCCTTCTTATTTTCTTATTGAGGGGGGCCAGATTCTGGTCTTGGTCTCCAGGAGGCACTCATAATTAGTCTAGTGCTGGAAGTTGAAAGACTCTAGGTAGATAGTTTGGGGAGATACAAGAGGGACCTACTAAAAGAATAGTTTTATTACATTCAATGCTAGCTCTTTGCCAATAACTACAAGGTGGGCTGGATTGGAGGTGGCTCCTTTGTTTCCTTTTTTAGTCATGACAGGCTGTACCAGAGTTGCTTATTCTTGCCCTTTGCCTGCAGGACAGGGTGGTGGATTTCTCTGGCGCTCAATTGTTGTGTTGGCAAATGGTGATCTGCTTTTCAGAAGTCTGTTTGGCTGTTGTGTCCTCTTTCTCGTCGTCGGTTTCCAGAGGTGGGTTTTCCTGGATGTTGGCACTGCCCTTGGGTATTCAGCTGGGTGTTTTGTGGTGTCCCTCACTGCAAAATGTCAGTGAGGGACATCAGTTGGCTGAGGGAGCCAACTGATCGAGGATTGTGGACCTCTGGTTGAGGTCCACAATCTGTTATGTAGTAACAGAGTCTAGTGTGAGGGTCTAGCCTTAGACTCTAGCCAGAGTCTAGCCTTTGCCGTAGGCTTCTTATTTTTGGCCGAGGTTCTTAGAGTGGGTTCTTCGCATTAGTCATTTCACAGTTCTCTCCCATTGTGGTGTGAGAGGGGACTGCTGTGCATCTTCTCCTATGCTTGGACTGAATGGTTCATCTTGGCATATCCCGGTTCCTTTGAGAATCAAGTACTTGCTAGGGTTCATGTTCAAATTGCTATTGGGACTTTTTTCTCTTGAGAGGGTCTTTATAGTGAGTTGGCTCCATGAACGAGTGATCTTGTTCAAAATTAGGACACAAAGTATGAAATGATTCCTTCCGATTGGCTCTTTGGTCTCCCACTTTGTAGTACCAGTTTTCAGTTCGTGCTGGGGTACCCAGGTCTTCAAGTGGAGTTTGCCTGTAACTGTTGGGGGGTGGTGTCATTATCTGGTGTGAGAGTAGTTAACTAACAGGTAGTTAGAAGAGGAATAATTAGTTTGATTGTTATAATTTATGATTCCAGTCATCTTTCAGAGTGCAGGTTGCAATAGTTTTGCTCTTTTTTATTATAGCAAATTGGTTTCCTTGGTGGTGGATTGAACATCTATCAATTTGGCAAGACCACTTGAAAAGTTTCTTGTCACCATAAGGCACAGTTGGCTAGGGTGTCTTCTTTTCTTAGAAAAGGTTTCTTGTGTGTGCAGTGTCCTAGCCTTCCTGGGTGAACCTTGTCATGGGGAGCAACCAGGGTCTGCATAGAGCATTTCATGTTAATCAAATATTGTTTTTACAGGTTGGTCAAAAACAAAGAGGTACCATGGTTTCTTCAAGCCAAGTGCAAGACTAATTTCATCACGAATTATTAGCACAGAGGAGGTATCACCAGATCACCATTGTACACACATGCTGATGCAGTGGGGACAGTTCCTTGATCACGATCTTGACCATGCTCTTCCTTCAATATCTTCAGAAAGTTTTCATGATGGAGTAAATTGTCAGACGTAAGGAAATTATAGTTATCAATCCTAGCTTTAAAAGTTATTGAATATATATTTCCTTTTTCAAATACCATAATAATGTATTAACTGCCCAAAAAGAATACTAGATTCAGTATTTAATAACAAAATTCATATTTCTGGGAAGCACTTTATTTAGGACCTTCCTCTTGCATTTATTATCAGGTATCTCCTGATGGAATACCTCGCATTTTCACAATTTTGGTTTAAAAAAAGTTGCATATCATCTTTAAACTTAAAAGACCTGTGTATTCCATTACAAAGTAGATTCGTATTATTATTATTATTATTATTATTATTATTATTAGGCCATGTAGCCCTCTAAAGAAATTAGCATACAGCATCTTTGATCCAACTCATGGATCAAGGCATAAGTAGCAACTTAAAAGCTCCACCACAAGAAACATTATAGCAATAGTATCTCAAAAGATGGTTGTAGTGTACTGGAATTTAACTTAACATTGTCATATCAACCATTGTACAGTATATGGATAATGGCTAATGCTTGGAGAGACTTGACGTTCAACCTTGAGGAATTTTTGGAAGAAGCCTTGACTCATAGCAGATGTTTCCTCAACCTGCCGTGGTGGCTGGTAACGATGATGTTGACAATTATAACGATGCCGACGATATAGAACGTTTTGAAATAAAAACAAATGAAAGAATTGACATAACATCTTGATTATTTAAACAATATAGAGTATTTAAAAAAGGATGCAGTGAAAGATGTGAGCTTGGTGCAGGTGTGGCTTCACTTTAACCTTAGTGGTACAAGACCAATGAGTGAAGAGGAAATAATAAACATGATTGTCAGGAGGAGGAAGAGCAGTAACATGACAGCTTGGGTAAAGTGAAAAATTAAAAGAAACAAGGAATTAGCTTAAGTACTGCTTTGAAATGATTTTAAGTTTCACTGAGAGAAGAACCGAATTCGATAAGTGTACTGTAATGGACATGTATAATTATTATGTGCAAGTCTTTTTCATCCATCATGAATGTTTTTTGCAGTCATTACCAAATTTGGGAGATATAATGCTGGAGGGCATAGGGAATTTTTCTTTGATCACCAAAAAGTGAACTTTGCCATATATAGTTATTAATGTTAATTTTGTACTACCATAAAGAAATTGTGATTGGTTACAATTATTCATTAGCAAAGCAAAATTTAACTCCTGACAGGTCATGTGATTATGCATCACCTTGCTTCCCAATTGAGATTCCTCCTGACGACCCTCGAATCCGACATCATCGTTGCATGGAGTTCACTCGTTCATCTGGTATCTGTGGTTCTGGAATGACATCAGTGTTTTTTAATACTGTACTACCAAGAGAACAAATTAATCAACTAACATCTTATATTGATGCATCACAGGTATGTTAAGAAATCAATTTTGTTAGTTTAAATGGACTGATTTTCTACCATTCTGTAAATAAGCAAATGAAATCCATTATTGTTTGTGCTGCCTGTCTGCAAATCACAGTACTGTTTCTCCTAAACCTTTATACAGCTGTTCTTCTTATTTTATTTTCTGGGTTGATCATTTTGGTAGCTTCCCTGAGCTTATGGCACCAACACACTAGGTACGTAAAGCTCCCATAACCTCTCTGTTCGATGGGGGACAGAGACTTTTTCAAATCTTCTTTTCTCCTCCATGGAGCAGTGGGTGCATGTGGAATTCAAAGATTGCCCACTGTTGAGGCATGAACAGCCAAGAACTAAAAAGTCACAAAATTCTCACAGATTTCTTCAGAGAATTGTTTGGCAACTCAAGAATTAGCAAACAAAACAGAGTAATTAGGTACTTAATTGCTTCTCATCACCGCCAGGTGGTACCTTGATTGATTTGAGGTCTGAGCGAGACATCTCTCTCTAGCCTTGTGCATTACTGGGTGTTTGGGTTTACCAACATCCTCCAGGTCATCTGTGGCTATCTTCAACCCATGCTCAGTGCTCCTACCATTTCTCATGTTGAACAATGCATCTTTATCCACTGTCAATTCTATATATTTATATATATATTTCGTCTCTTCCTTCTCCCCACGTAGTGAGGCTGAGTTCTCTGTCTTTTAGGTAAATGAATCCTATCAGTTCTGGGACCTGTCAGAAAAGGTATGAATCCATAACAATAAGTACAACCTGGAGAAATTTAGCTTTAGGAGATATATAGGGAAGTACTTGTTCGGAAATAGGGTTATGGACAAGTGGAGTCCACAACATTAGCTGGAGTGCCAGCTAACGTTAATGAGACCTAACAGTTTAACAGGTTTCAAGGATAGATTGGATAGCTACATGGGTAAAAAGGGGTGGATTTTAAAAGGATGTACTACTCAGTATGAGCCAATATGACAGCTGTGCTGCTCCCTAATTTATAGAATGTTCTCTAATTTTATATTGTGCCATGTTTTAAGTAGGGTCTCTATATAAATTGTTTATAATGTTCTAAAGACCTCTTTTTTTCTAGGTATCCTGTACCTGAAAGCTACTTGATTATATGCTGCACCCTTTCTAGGGTATTTACAGATAGCCACTGCATTCTATTATGTTTCTATTGCTCATCCTACACAATCCCCATTCATTTAGAGTTTTGGTTTGGTTTGGTGTTTTATTAGTATACAGTATATGCTCTCTTGTGACAAGCAGTATAACTAAAAGCTCTGCATATGAAAGTTGTATACAGTATTAAGCAGAGAATATACATGTTTTGTTACCTCTAACAATAGCTTTTGAATACATATACACATTGCCTTTGAACAGTTGAATAATTTTCACTTATTATCATAGGAAGTAGTTATGATTAATGTGTTTTTGACAGGTCTATGGGTCTAGTGCTGCAGACCTGCGACTCTTGCGCAATACAACACACTCTGGCCAGTTACGGCATGGTATTTTTACATCGTCGGGAAAGCCCCTAATGCCATTCAGTGAAGGTGCTCCTGTAGACTGTCGAAGAGATTTAAGTGAAAGTGGGATTGACTGCTTCTTGGCTGGAGATATTAGAGCTAATGAACAGGTGGGTTTGGAAATTTCAAGATGTTTTATGTGTAATATAAATTGAATTTGTGATATGCTGAAATGTGATTTTTTTTATTTTACATGCAATACTGTTTGTTTTGAAGGTCTTTCTTATTACAGTTTTGTGTGCTTCAGTGAATTATATGTGTGCCATATATATGTATATATGTGAGAAAGGCTGCATGAATGTGCAAGCCATAGATTACTAAGAACTGTATGTGACCCAACCAGGATTCGAAACCACGATGTCCAGGATCACCCCAAAATGTACACAGTACAGTACCTTGACAACTTGACAATCAATGGTGCAGTGTTCCTGGTACTGCGTACATTTGGCGGGTGATCCTGGATATCATGGTTTCAAATCCTGGTTGGATCGTATAGAGTTTTTAGTGATATGTATATATAGATATAACAGTGTATAAACAGCCTAGTGTCTTCCCAGTCTGGTCTGACAGCAATGCACATGGTGTGGTTTAGAGAGCACAACAGAATTGCCGAAGCCCTGAGACAAATCAACCCACACTGGGATGGTGATACTATCTTCTATGAAGCCAGGAAGGTTGGTGGTACTTTGTTAAAGGTTCTCCTATTCATTTAGTTGGTGTGTTTAATTTTCCTTCTTTGGATTTTATTTTGTTAAAACTCTAAACAAAATTATATACAGTACAATGATCATTATGTCTTTTTTTCCTTAGACATCTATGATAAGAAAGGAATGTCCATTTAAGCTAGTTTTTCAAATGGATTTCATTAATTGAAATGTTTTAGCAAATAAATATAAGCAAAGTGAAACTTTCATTCTTGTCCGGGTTGTATTAAGATTCAGTCATATACCTGATGCCCCTGTTTACATAGCAGTAAATAGGTACGTGAGAGTTTGGCAACTGTTAGGCCTGGCATCTGAGGAGAGTTAACAATTGGCCTAAAGAGCTCTCAATAAGCCTCACAGCTTCCTGTCCCTTGAGTTTGGAGATACCCAAAGATGAACAATACATATACTGTACCCTGCTAGGATTGATATCAACCTTTAAGCCAAGTGTTTTATTTGTGACTTAGGAGGATATTCCTACATTGGGGGCCTTTATTTTTTTTGTTTATGTTCCACAATGGCATCTGTACAGATCATATTATATGTCCTTTGTATTTTCCTTAGTGTCAGCTTGCAATTTTTATCTCCATACTAATTATTTTCTGAGAGGTTTGGGTTTCTTATGCATTGGCTCCTTTTGAGTTGCTTTTGGTTGGTGACTGGGGCTTGGCCAGTAAAGTGACACCTCTTAATGGGGAGGTGCATAGTTAAACTGTGTCACCTGTTCGCCCCCTGCCCTCATGGTGATAGCTGTAGACCCCCTCGCCCTCCTGGTGACAGTTGTTTTGCATGAACACATTCTAAAAAGAACTCAAGTATTCCAGATACCCAAAAGGCCATCACACGGCTTTTCTCTCCTGTCACTGGATAGCATAGCATTCATTCCCACCTTTTCTTACCTCCTGTGCTATAATTAGCATGGAAGGTAATTATATATAAATAATTATAAAAGGAAATAGTTCATGTATAGTATGTGATTTCCAGATTGTGGGAGCAGAGGTTCAGCACATCACATACACACACTGGCTGTCACATATCATAGGACCAAGTGGACTGGAGAAGCTGGGGGATTATGCAGGCTACAATCCTGACCTTGAGCCTACAATTAGTAATATCTTTGCTACTGCTGTGTTTAGGTAACATCTGATGACAATCATAACAGTATGTCTTTTTCAGTGTTAATGTTAATACAGTAATAAATTGGACCTCATGGCATTACTTTGTAGCATGTGTTAACCTACATATGAATGAGTCTAATAACTTTTGTTACTAATCAGGCAGATGGGCATTAATTGAGTCAACAATATATATCAAGGTACATTACAAGGTGGTAAGTAATTTTTAATTTATGGCCAAAATGCTCTGCATATTAGTGGCGCTTTATTTAAATTTCTTGCCAATGAATTCTCCACTGTATCATGTATCAAATGTATGTACTTTTATATAAGTAAAATATTATTATTATTACTTATGGTATAGTCAGGACATTGTGAGCCAGATGTCGGAGGCTGTTGGCAGAGTCCTTTGTAGACTGCTGAGGTCAAGAGAAAAATTCTCTCCTAGCGGTGTTGTGAGTGTAAGTGTCTGCGTTGTCCATCATCTTTGGCAGGGTGGCTAGTCATCGACACATCCTCTTGATGGTTTTGTGATCTATCGCATTGTTTTCGATATTCGTGCTCCCATCTAGCCATGATCTTGCTTCTGCACTTGTTATCTGCCTTCCCATCTGGGTCTGCTCCTGCTAGGGGTAAACTCCTATTTTTCTATGTTCACATTTTGGGTCTTTTTTCTCTTTGGATGGTTTGGCCATGGAGCAATAGTCTGTAGCTCAGAAAAAGGGCATTAAGGCAGTGAAATACATGGACTGATTACAGTGTTTAAAGTTATATTCTTTGGAGTGCAGGCAGGAGACATAGTACTGTAATTTACAATTGGAAAATATTAAGAGGGACTGGTTCCAAATCTGCACACTGAACTGGCATCATATGAGACTAGGAGGCTGGCAGGATGTGCAGAATAGTCCTTTGAAAAGCAGAGGTGCAATAGGAATGCAGATACTGTACTACCCTATCAACATCAAAGGCTTAAGACTGTTCAACACACACCTGCTATAGATATGGGACATAACTGACTGGCCTCTCATGGTGTTCCAAAGAGAAATTGATAAATGCCTCCACAGGATACATGACCAACCAGGCTGTGATTCATACATCAGGCTGTGAGCAGCTGTGTCCAAAAGTCTGGTTCACTAGAGCACCCACCAGGAGGCCTGGTACTAGACAGGGCCGTGGGGATGTTAATACTCGGAATCGCCCCAGAGGAAGGTAAAGTTTATGAGCCATTATCTCGCTTGCTCTCAATCCTGCCCTCTTTGTCGTAGATTCCCATGAATGTGCTTGGATGATGTGGGCTTCAAATGAATATGCTGGCTCCAATATTTTTGTTTTTATGACCCATGCACTCATCTTATGGCAGTGAGAGTAGTGGCTATTGTCAATAGTTAACAGTAAAAAAAATTCTTCATAATTTCAATGCATATGGTGCCGTGTGTATATTGATCGTTTCTTTTGTTAGATTCTTCCATGTCTTCCTTCCCCAAATATATGACAAAACTACAGTACTTGTAAAGTTACTTGGTATGTTGGCGAATAGGCAATCTAGAACCTGGTATATAGACAGATTTAAGGATGTACCATAAGGGTCTGACTCGGGGAGTAACTAAGAGTCTGACTCAGAAAAGAGCATTTCATTATAACACCATTTTACTGAATCATCTTGCCAAATCTGACTAAACCTTGTCTTAAATGTTGTTGTATGACCCAAGTAAGGCATTGTTATCATCACCAAGAATGGTTGTTACATATCACTTGATACCTTGACATTTAAAAAAATGAATACTTAGTGAAGTAATATGACTCAAATTATATTAACTTTTAACACAAATTTAATGTAACTTGTATTGTAAACACTTAAATTAATAGCTGAGTATTGTACTTTTATATTTGTAATATTTTATAATTGTAAATTTTGCAATATAAAGCTTCATAATTGGCATTTGCAGATTTGGACATTCATTGATCAATCCAATTCTTCATCGACTCAATGCTACCTTCCAGCCAATCCCTGAAGGACATTTACCACTGCACAAGGCTTTCTTCAGCCCTTGGCGCATTGTACAAGAAGGCGGCATTGATCCACTCCTCAGGGGTCTTTTTGCAACTCCTGCTAAACTCAAGGTAATATAATAATTATTTGGAAGCTATTCCTTGCAACATCATCTTCTAGCTTTGATGCCTTCTGTTGATAATTACTTGTTATCTGTTCCATTTGGATGCTTCTTTAGGGAAGCTCACAGAATGTCTAAATGGACACATTTAGGATAGTTAAGATAAGGTTACAGTCTGCATCATAGTAGCTGAACTCTCTTAGAATATCCCTTTCAGATCATACTGATGCTAGGGAGGCACTAAAGAAGAACTCATTTTAGGCCAAAAAGTAATCCTATCAAGACTAAGCTTCTCCAAGGAACTTGGGTGATTGTCATGTCCTTCGATTAGTCCTGGACAAAATAAGTTTATGGAGCACCATTTGGCAAATGGAATTTAATGTGAATAAATGCCATGTTATTGAATGTGGAATAGGAGAAAATAAACCACACAACCTACAAATTATGTGAAAAAGCCTTAAAAAATTCTGATTCAAGACCAAGAGGTATAGATTTAAGCAAACTAAACAAAGCTGCTAAAGAAATATAAGAAAATTCACTTTCGCAAACAGAGTGGTAGACAGTTGGAACAAGTTAAGTGAGAAGGTGGTGGTGGACAAAACTGTCACTAGTTTCAAAGCGTTATATGACAGAGTATTGGGAAGACAGGACACCACGAGTGTAGCTCTCATCCTGTAACTACATTTGAGTAATTACTTATCTAGCATCAGTATGGCTAAGCAGAAACATTTCTAAAGATCCCTGATGTGTTAGTCTGATATGTTGGTGCCTTCTTTTGATAATTACATACTAGTCTGATATGTCATCGTGCTGTGTCATCAACTTGTCCAATAAGATATTCAGTGAACTTGCCTTGCATAACATCTGAGTGGAATTAGGTCAGTAGTGATAAGAGTTTGGTATTAACATAATTTATCAAGCACAGCTTAGTGACTTTTCACTGCACCTGATTATTACATGGGAAAAAAATGTAATGCATTTGCTTTGAAAACGTACCCCCACATGTTTATTTAAGAACTGTACTTTCTTTTGTAGATGCCTGGCCAGTTTCTAAACACAGAGTTAACAGAAAAATTGTTCCGTGCTGCACATGAGGTGGCACTTGACCTTGCTTCCCTCAACATCCAGAGAGGACGAGATCATGCTCTGCCAGGCTATACAGAGTGGCGCAAAGCTTGCAACCTCTCAGTGCCAGAGAACTTTGATCAGCTAAGATCTCACATATCATCAATAAACATTCGAAACAAGCTTAAGCAGCTATATGGTCACCCAGGTAATAAACCCATAATGAGCCATCTGCTCCATAACATCTTGTCTTACTTGTTTACTAGTCATTTTCATTATAATCTTGTTTTTGTTATTTACTACATCATTAAACTTTTTAAGAGCTGTTCAAAATCTTTTAGGAAACTATTAATGCTTTTTATATAATTTTTTAATTTTTTAATAGTCTACATAATATTTTTTTAAGGTAATGTTGATGTGTGGGTTGGTGGTTTATTGGAAGACCCTGTTGAAGGTGCCAGAGTAGGGCCAACTTTCCAGTGTCTTCTTGTGGATCAGTTCAGACGGTTACGTGATGGTGACAGGTCAGTTTGAACTCTCGTTAAATCAAAAATAAATAATGTCCAAATGACATATGGATGTTGAAAATTTATAATTGAGTACAAAATATTGTAATATTGGACTTGGGTTCAAAGAATGGAAAAAAAAGAGTAAATGTAAAGGGCCACAGGTGATGCTCTATTATTTGGGTATGCAAGGCCAAATTTCATATAAAAGTTCCTTATGGTTTCCCTTAGATAAACTGTAGGCTAACTTAGTACACATAAGGATTGCCAGATTTGAAGACATGAGATGGTAAGAAAAGCACAGAATCTAAAGCAGCTGGATGGGTATACTGTACAGGTAACAACATCTACAAATAATTAATATCCCCAGACCTTACAGTAAAACAACAAAATAAATGACAAAGAATTCAGAAACTTGAACTGTGCTACAGAAAGCTCCCCTTAAACAAATATCATTAACTATATGCTTAATTGCCATTTCAGTTTAAACATTAGTATAAACACAATTTTTAACTTAGTATTATAAATAAATCAGTGGCAGGTTTTCTTCTGATATTATAAGTAAATATTGTACCATAAACAAATCAGTAATACATGCACAAGGTACACAAAATATTCCAATCACAGTAGGGCTTTTCTGTAATCTTATTTGTTGACATCCAGTTTTTTTTTTTTAAGGTTATTGCTTACAAGTATATGATTTTAGGGAGCATGTTGGGGTTGTAAAAGATGAACATAGTGTCTTCATCACATAGTACAGGCCTGTATTAGGTTTTAAGAACTTTAGATAAATCACCGATATATTGGTATTGTTGAAGTCCTGGTAGTAGAGTTAAATTCATTCTCAACTCTCAATTGGGAATCCCAGGTTCAAATCCCGGGCAGGACAGAAACGGTTCGGTTTGTTTCCTATCACAAGTTGCTTTTGTTCACCTAGCAGTAAATAGGTCCCTGGGAGTTAGTCAACTGTTGTGGGGTTACATCCTGGGAAAAGTCAGATATTCGACCTTGGGAATCCACAATATAATCCTAATGTACTTAAACAGGCTGCCTATCTTCGAAAAAATTAGAAATTAATTATAAGAGAGGTCCTAGTACTACCTTGTGATACTCTTGTAAGGTTCTCCCACCATTCAAATAGAGTAAGGTAAGGAACTTCTGTATGAAATTTCAGCTAAAAATAAAGTGCAATCTTTAAACATAACTTTTTACATATAAATATAGGTGAAGTATTACTATCATAATATACAGATTCTGGTATGAAAATCCAACCACCTTCAAGAGTGAGCAGTTAGCACAAATTAAGCAGGCCACCCTGGGAAGAGTTTTATGTGACAATGGTGATAATATACAAGACATGACATCTGACGTGTTTGTGTTACCTCGTGAGCAGAGCCCGGCCTTTGTGGAGTGTTCCAAGCTTCCATATGTTGATTTACGCTTATGGACTGAGTGCTGTACAGGTATGGTGAATTTGTAGTTTTCCTAGAACAACTTTCCAAATGTATTGATAACCTCCATTTTCTCAGATACTTTAAGTATTTCAGCATACTAGATTTAAGGCAAAGGTAGCGACTGTAAAATTACTACACTTTTGATTATAGAAATAAAGAACTTTTTGGAGACAAGTCTAGGCATACAGTACATACACTTAACTTTGATCCTCACAAATATATGGAAGAATGCAGGCTTAGAGTTAAAATAAAAAGCCCTTTCCTGAGCAAGACATTCTCCATAAGGCAAGATCACTGAAAGTTTCATTGTAAAAGATTATGATAGAACATGGTGACATAGCTGGATCAAGGCCTGGTGTGGTACCTCGGTTTTGAGTACTCCAAGTAGGTAGTTTGGGGAGAAACGAAGGAAACCACCAGAAAGAAGGGTCTCATTACATTCAATGCTGGATTTCTTATTGTCGTTAAATGTTAAGTCATCAGGCATTATGACAAGATCCTTTGTGTTGTGTTTCTATGAGATCAAAGTGAATATTGTATCCTGTATTCAGTTTAAGTGTTTAATTTTTACAATGTCTAAATATTTGGACTTTATCACAACACACTGGCGGTCCAGTCTCTCCATGCGTTCCTGACTGTAAACAGTCTGGACACCTGGGGCTGCTCAAGGGGCCACTCAGCTATGTGAAAATGTTTACATTCATTTTAAGTTTCCTAAGCTATTTGTTGGGCTATAACTATAAATTGGGGGTCAAGATGTTTGCAACCACTTCACCACCACCACCTCCGAATTATTACATACTCTATACACAATACTGTACATGTCATCAAACAATTACTTGTATCTTTTTCAAGAAAAGTTTTGCCTGAATCACAGTCTTTCTAAAAGTATATTTTGTACATCAGGAAATCGTTTGTATCATTCACATACACATGTAGTCAGATATCATATGCATTTTTTTGTTTTAGGATATATGAAAATTTTATGATAAGAGGAGTGTTCACCTCATTCATTACTTCATTAAATTTAGCTTAACAAATAGAAATCTCTGCAGATTGTCGGAATGCTGGCAACTTCAACAGCTTGACCCAACCACCAGGCATTCGTTTTCGTCGACAAGCTCAGTTTTCACATATTGAGGACCAAGAACATATTTTAATGGGAATAACTAGTGGAAAACAAGCTAACATTGACATAAATGAATCATCAATTTTCTATAATAGTAACTCTGAAAATATCAGCAATTCTAAACTGAAACAAAGGTTAGTTACTGTTTTATATTGGTCACAAAATGTAACCTGGTAATAGTGATCTACAAAATCAATTTTCTAAATCAAGATTTGGATTTTTTGTACAATATACTGTTGTGTGAATGGTTATAGTAATACAATTCAGCAAAAGGAAAAATTTATATTCTGTATTTCACTTCTGCTTGACTATTCCTTTTTCAAAACTTCTCACAGAACTAGCCATAGTCATCATCAAGAGAGTGTAAGAGGTTGGATACCAAGAAATAAAGAAGCCAGTGGTGAGCAAGACTTGGGAAGCTATGAGCAAGACATGACAGAACAGCGAATAGAAGGGCTTGAAGTTCTAGTAGAACAGCTCTCAAAAACAGTGTATGAACTTAATAAAAAGGTCTGTATTGTATATAAATGAAGTGCTGCATTCAAGCAGACTTTTATTTGTTAAAAAAATGTGGCCATGTAAAATTCAGGTTTTGAGTGTAAATGAAAGCTTCTTTAGGCAATGTCCTACATTTTACATGCACATGACAACACGTTAACAAAGCCAATGCAATTTTCACTAACCAACACAACAGTAATCTTTTCAAACACCTCTTCCAGGACATTAATGAGAAAAGGAAGACATAATTTCTCTCCCCCAGCTTGGAATATCCTCCAGAAGGTTCATTTATCAGCACTCAAAAACTTCCTGCAAACAGAAACAGAACTGCTTTACCATTACATATTAAGATTTATCAAGATTTATATCTGGGCTGAATTGCTGAATTGACGGGCCACACAGCACCTCGGATGCATTTCCGATAGCTCATATATAATAAGAGAAAAGGGGTGGTTATCTTGAGATGATGATTTCGGGGCTTTTTAGTGTCCCCGCGGCCCGGTCCTCGACCAGGCCTCCACCCCCAGGAAGCAGCTCGTGACAGCTGACTAACTCCCAGGTACCTATTTACTGCTAGGTAACAGGGGCATTCCGGGTGAAAGAAACTTTGCCCATTTGTTTCTGCCTCGTGCGGGAATCGAACCCGCGCCACAGAATTACGAGTCCTGCGCGCTATCCACCAGGCTACGAGGCCCCCATACGGTGACGTCAAGGAAAATAAGACTCACGTCCCTAAAAAAAAAAGACTAAAAAGAAAGAAAAAAAAGACCTTATGCAAGAATTTCCATGCCCAAGCGGTACATGAGAATGGAAAGAAAGAGAATACTTACCCCTACAGTTCAGTGGAAGGGGTCAGAGAAACATATCCGGGTTCACAGATCTCCACCTGTAGTGATGATCAGTGGGAAGATAAGACTATCGAGCACCTCACTATGATGGTGTAGACGGAATCTGAGGGAGCTCTTGTGCCATAATATCAGCAAGAGTTATTGTAGAGAAAAATGTCTTGAAAGTGGCATACTCCCATGTGTTTTAGAACAAGGCACCACAGTACATGGGTTCTGGAAGGAGAGAGACTGACACAGTGTGGTGTGTCAAGATATCCACATAGGGACACTACAGAATTGCCAAATAGCTGAATGATAAAAAAAAAAATGGGATCCAACTGAAAGGCAAGAATGAGGGATAAGATCAGAGATGCATGAATGTATCAATGTTCAAACAAGAGTAAGTCTGAACACCAAAGAAAAGTATGAAGCTTTCCCATGTGGTTATCTGTCTGTAGCTTACAGATCCTCAAATGATGGCAACACTAGAAACTAAGTTAAAACACATGGAGTCCAAAATCACACTGTTAGTCTTCTCATACTGTATAATGTTTCAACCTTTTGTTTGGCTTTGCATGCTCCTTTTTGTTGGCATTTTTGTCTGGGTTCTTGTGTTTTTACCCTCTCACTCATTTCAAGTCACCTTCAGTGTTAGCTTTTCAGGTTCCAGTATTATCTAATTTGGTCTTTCATCAGGCAGTTTTTTTGAGTCTTCTGTGCCCTTCATCTTTGAAGTGGCTTTTGTTATTTTGGTCTAGTGATTCAAGTTTGTTGATTGCAGGTCCGTCCGTCCTTCCTTCCTTCCTTCCGTCCGTCCATCTGTTAAATACCCTTGCTTATTTTTTACTTTTTTTTGTAGCTTCTTTGTTCAGTGGCTATTGTTTATAACTTCAGTAGGCAACTCTAGCTTGTCACAAGGTAGCTTTTCATTCATCCTTTCATCATTCTTTCCTATTCCTTCACATGGTTTAAGCAGAGCAATAATTTTGGTTGACCTTTTCATTGATCAGTGTTTTGTCTTTCGTACATTGCCGTTCAAGAGGCATACCTGTATGTCGACAACCATTTTTGGACCTGTGGTTTCTGGCGCTTCTGTAGTTCTGATGGTTGGATACCATTCCTGGAATACCCTGCCCTCTATTTGGGTGATATAAGCCAATGAGGGGGTAATTCCAGAAAGAGCATTGAATATAATTTAAAAACTTATTTATGGGGCTCCTCAGTGGCTCCCTTTTTTCTGCTATTTCCTTGGCGTCTCCACAGGTGAGCGGTTAGTTCTGTCTCAAGTGTGAAGGTAGTGGCCAAGCAATGCTATTTGGTAGAGAGTTTACTGTTTAACGCAACAGTAAAATGTGTACTTGGATGAAAAAACGATTCTTCGCAGCAGGGGATCGTATTCCAGGGACCTGCCCGAAACGCTACGCGTACTAATGGCTGTACAAGAATGTAACAACTCTTGTATATATCTCAAAAAAAAAAAAAAAAAAGACGGGGTTTGGTATTTGTTTGGAAAGAATGAATATCACACATTTCTCAATGTGCATTTCAAGCTTTTTTAAACCTCTCCAGCCATTATGGCTCGGTGAAGTAAATTTAATAAATAAGATTTTAATCTCATTTTTCAGTTTGATTAAATTTCATATAATATTTAGAATTAAATTCAAATATAAATTTTAGATTAAATTTTAGTACATAATTGTTTTTATTCAGATAGTTAAAAAGTATGTATATGCTGCTCAATAGTAATAACTGTAGCAGGAACCATCTTAAATTCAGTATTTCTAGTTTTAGTTCTGTTGTATAACGAGAATTGCTAAAGCATCGTTATTTATCAGGTGAGCACTTTAGAGCACAAATGTGGTGGAAGTATTCGAAAGAGGAGGAGAAAATTATGTAAAGATGAAGATGGAAATGAACGAATTATTGGAGAGACGTGGCAGAAGGATCCTTGCACTTTGTGCAAATGTCAGGTATGTAGTGAAACTAGTATTGGTAATTTCATAAACAATACTTTTTTTGTGATCACAACTATTTAACCTCTAAAGTGGGCTATCATCAACGGTGCCTCTACCTGTGTGGGGACAAGAAATTAAAAAAATATATATAATGCATTTGTATGCAAATGTATAAATTTTAGATTTTAACACAATTTCCTAAAAATATTAATGTGAAAGTCATTCAAGAGTAAAGTTGACTCAGGCCCCTCAACTCAGTCCCAGGCTATGATTGGATCTTCCCTCCCTCCTCCACTCAGATAGTTCTAGAGGGAGGTCTTGTGTGGTCCATCCAGGACTTACCATCTCACTATTATCAACTACGTATATGGGCCAATAGGTTTTCTAGTGTCACTATTTTAATGTAAGCTCAGTTTTTATGCCTTACTTCTCCAATTTCCCCTCTCATCACTTTTCCCTCTTGCCTTATATACCATTAAATGTATTACAGGTACAGTATCTGCAACAAAAAATATTGATCATACAGTTTGCCCAAAATGTTGCTCATGGTTAGTGGTCTCATAAAATATATACAGGTGAACATCATTTAATGGCAGGCTTAGATTCCTGAAAATTGCAACTTTAAATGATATGGAGTTAAGTGAAACTAGAAACCTCATAGGCCTAGTGTAAGTAAAAGTTACATTCCTACAGTACTGGCAAAGATGTTTGGTCATTTTTTCACTCGCCCTTGTTTTTAGCTTAGTTTCTGACAATATTGTCTTCTGTCTCATTAGGACTACTACCTGTTAATATGTCATTTACCCACCATGCCTTTTTGGTTAAGGAAAGTTTCTACCAATATTATGGTTGGAACTTTCAACCCTTGTTTGTCTGTTATCAGTCAGTGGATGCATTTGTTTTGGCAGCACCTAATGTCACTTTGATAATTTGTTAACATAGCCATATGGTCATAGTACATTATGCAGTAGAGTATTATATAAATTTTGTTTACTGAAAATATCACAAAATATAGTACTGTAAACAAAAAGTTTTATTTTTAGTACAGCATAAATTCAGTATTCATTGACAAATATTTAAGTGAACCTTCATATACTGTACAGTACTTTGTTTTCTATAAGCTCCGTAGGCTTCCACATTTTCTCTATCCTCTCTTTTTGATAATACTTACAGTACTGTATTTTAATTCATTGTGTCAGCGAACAGGCAGCTAAAGTGCATTTATACACAAATAGGTTTATATCAAGGTGATTCCCTATGAGGTTGAATTACTGACCCTCTCCAGGATGCAACCCCACAAGATGACTTAACTCCATAGTACCTACTTACTGCTGGGTGAACAGAGGCTTGCATGATAGGAAATGCACCCAACCATTCCTTCCCCGGCCAGAATTCTTGATTGTACGTCAAGAACAAACCCATCTGTACAAGGATCTTTTTAAATAAATTTAAATTTAAATAATTTAATTTATCCGTTTTAAGTAAACGACAAAAACTAAATACAATAGCATTAATTGAGGCGATGTTAAATGAAGATCACCTGTACCTATACAGTACATTCATATGGAAAACAAATATAGTAACAATTTATAACTAACAGAGATAATCACCAGTGCCAAAAATCTGTGAGTGCAGTGCTGCTTGCCATGGGATGCAACTAAACCTAGGTCTACTGGGCGTGCAAAGGTCCTAACTTTTAAGATTATGTATTTGTCCCGTTTTCATTGGAGTGCATGAAAATAGGAAATTTAGAATTTTTTAAAATACCAAATTATCAGTTATTGTAGTGTGACATAAGTGGTGAACAAGTTATACATTGTGATAATTTTTTTTATTATAAACTACATTTTTTTTCTGAAATATCTTTTCAGAGAGGAAATGTGGAGTGTCAGGTGAGCTCGTGCCCACCTCCAGCATGTGACAACCCGGTGCTGAGAGAAGATCAGTGCTGTCCTGTCTGCTGAGGCATCACCTTATAATACTGTACCAATTTCTATCATTTATTTCCATTTTATGGAGGCTGTGCTGTGCCCGTCCTCTTGCTAAACTACTAATTTCTTTAATTTACCTTCAAGAAAAGTGGCTGCCTTTAAGTAATCTTAAATCATCTGCCAAAGAAAGAGGAAAATGCTACATTTGATACATTTTTGTAAAAAAATTAAATTCTAATGTTACAGATGCGAGTTAAAAACAGCTGGAACAGTTTGCAAAGTGAGTGCACATATAAATAAACTAATGTGATTTTTATGATAAGGAATAAATGTAACATTCAAACCTTGAATATACATGGTCATAACAATGCACTCTTTACCTACATGGTAAATATTTTGAGACAATCATTATGGATTCAACAATTGAGCCTACATTGTTTGCATTATGATGTGAATACAAAATTAGTAAAGCAAAGTATTGTAAAGTTTTCATTCTCATTTTATCTTTAAAGAGTACTGTACCTTGTCTTGGTTCGTACATTCAGTTGTTCCCTCATGTACGATGCCACTGTCTCCTTGACCAGGGATTGTGGAGTCAGGCAGATGTGACATATGGCACAATACATCAATGCATTTTCAAGCATCTCTTTAGGGTATTGATGGCTGAGAAAGTCACTAGAATACTGAATCCAAAATGAAGATTACCATTGCAAAGTCCTTTTACCAAAAAAAAATAAGAGCCATTCCAAGTTCACACTTGGTCATCACTGGTCACATCTAAAGAGGGCTCCAATGTTACAGCTATCAGGTGGGCTGCCTCCTGCAACCTGCTACTCTGTAGCAACACCTCAATCTTACCAGGGTTCACTGAACCAAGTACTCTCATACTTGCTGAGTTCTGTCCTGGTTGTTTTTTTTAAAGGCTAGGACCTACATAGTTAAGTGGCCTTGTTATCCTTAATCTTGTTTCTTGTGCACAGTGGGCGATATCCTTTTTACTCCAAAATTATATAAATTGTATAATCATCATGGGTATGACGATTAGTTTTCACTTGTTCTCTGATTTTTCTTTTTCTTTTTTTTTTTCTTTGAACTAAGCCACTGTACTAGTTAACGAGCCAATGTCACTTATGATTCTCTGCTACTTTGGCCTGGGATGCAAGTGTTTCTTTGAGGTGCAGAGTGGCACAGGCTGCTACAAGCATGAAGTGTTTAAGTTGTGCTAGGATGTCACTGATCCTTGGGTTTTTGTGGTTCTCCGGCACCTGCCTAAAGTAGGGGGGATGCTAATTCCCTGGTTTCCCGAGTCAGTACAGTGGTGTTTTCTTTCCCACCTTAACGGGGATTAAACCCTGCCCTTGCAAGACTCCCTTTTGTGGAAGACCATTGTGACAGTGTAGTAGGGGAACAGCTTCAGAAATTCTAGGATGAATGAACTGGGAATCCTTGGGCATGGAGTGGTTTCCAAGGCCATAATTCTGGCACATCAACCACTTTCTCTAGCCCTGTCCTCGTTGCTGGCCCAAGACTTTCTGGAGCCTTTTTTTCCTCTCGACATTGAGGTCGGATTTCTATTTAGCTTTCAAATTCACTTCTCTAGCAAGCAGGAAAAATTCATAATTTACAACTGGAAAATATTAGGACTGGTTCCAAATCTTTACACAGAAGTAACACCACATGAGACCAGAAGGCAGGACAGGATTTGCAAAATAGCCCCAATGAAAAGCAGAAGTGCAATAGGCAGGCCGAGAGAGAATTCGATCAACATCAAAGGTCCAAAACTTTTCAATACCCCCTACACACACAGGGCATAACTAACCAAGCTCTCAGTTTTCAAAAGAGAACTCAATGAGCACCTTCAAATGATACTTGATCAACCAGTCTGTGACTCATACACCAGGCTGTGAGCAGCTGCATTGAACAGCCTGGTTAATCAGACCTGCAATAGGAGGTCTGGTCAGAGACTAGGCTGCAGGGATGTTGATCCTTGAAATCAACAGGTAGCACATTATCAATTGTCTGCACAATCTATGCCCACAGACACAGGCATATCTTGCATCTTGAGGGAGCTGCTGAATGGCAGTTCTGATGAGCTTTTCACTGAAACTCAAAGCCTTATTTTTTAATTATAGCAGCCATTCATCTACACTCTATAGCAGTCAGGAAATGCAATCTTGTACTCAGATCAGCTCATTACCACACGTGGGTAAAAAGCATGTCAATTTCTAAACCAAGAGTTACTAGGAAGTGCATCTGATCCATTAGTGTATGATGCCATCTGTCAACACTTGCTGACCACATAGGTGGTCATGAGTTGCATCATGGGTCAAGGGTATAAGTCACTGCTTCTCAGGGACTTTATGCATATTAAGTGTTATGATTTGACCCATGTGTGGTAATAAGCTGAGCTGGCTGTGAGGTCTTGCTACATCTGCTGTTATTAAGCCTCAACATGCAATCATACATTAAAATTGTGAATGTAAATATTAATAAACTTTAAATTTATGAAGAATATATATACTGTATATATATTTTATAGTTGTATTGTGTTAAACACCTTAACAAATGCTAATATATACATACAAAATTTTGATGTAATAAAGTAATTAGTCTTGGAATTCATACTATTTTTTCATAAAATTCCTAAGGAATGTATTCATGCCTAATTCCACAAGAGTATCCAGACAAAGAAACCAAAAAAAGGTTTTTAAAATAATGCAATGGATCCAGCAATCTTAAGGATGTTGGTAAAGTATTTAACCCTTGAAGAGTCAACTGTTACATATAAAATCTGTTCCAGCTTTATTTTCTTCTAATTCTGTCTTACTCTGAGCATTACCTGCGTATTGTCTATCACTGCCACTTTGACGTCTACTTAACCGTTTCAATGCTATAAAAATAAGTAGCATTTGCCAAGCTTGCAGCTTGCATACTAGTCAGTAGGAAATCCTATACAGTATGTCCACTTGTTTGGTGCATTTACTAGAGAACTATGAAAAATATTAACCAATTTATCTCAAGATTTTTATAGGATAGGCTCAATAGTTACCCTAGAGCTCTGCTTTTTATCGATTTTTGCAGCATTACTAATATGGTGCTAATATTTGACAAATTTTATCTAATATTTATTACATACCATAATAACATTCACTGCCAATAGTGTATAAGAATGTTTGTTATTTTCTTAAAAGAACACACATCAATATCAGCACATTTCAAATGTCATCAGACTACACTCAAGATTTATAACAAGGCTGTTTTTTTTTTATTTTTACTCTGCAATGGTTCTCATTATATGGATGACTGTTTTTTGATGATTTTTGAAATTTGTATATGCTTTCATTACCTCACTATTTAAAATGGTAAAAATCAGGTCTTGGATTTAGTAATGTTTGCCACTTATAAATCTTACCCATGTGCTTATGTATGACTATGATAAATCTTCTTAATAAAATATTTATAACCCAACATACACATGAAATGAAAGTAATGACATTTCCGATTGTCCTGAACCCTTATTTAGTTGTGAAATACTGTATTATGACTTACGACTTTGGTCCAAGACGAACGGACCAAAACGTTATCACTTTTATATGTATGTTGTGTGTTTTAGTCCCATTATTGTTACATATTCCCTGCATAAAATATTACTCCATAGAAGTGATTGTCTTAGGAGTTTATTATTGATTCTTAATTGTAATTTAAATTTTTATAAAATCGAGGTGTGTGAAGACCATGATGTATGTTACTGACGTGTTTGCTTGATATGTTTGATATTTATATTTTGTAGTAAACCTTAAAAAAAAATTTATACAGCAATTTGGGCAGGTTTTCTTACACCTGATGGCTCTGTTCACCTAACAGCAAAATAGATACCTGGGAGTTGAACATTTAAGGGTTGCCTGCTAAGAAAGGTCAGTCATTGGCCTAGAGAAACCTTGATAAGTCTCAACAAACTTCCTGTTTGTGAGCATAGGAAACTATTTGAATTTTCTTGCATGAGCAAGTTTGGGAAGGAAAAACAAATCCAGAAAAATATCCTATAACTTCATAATTTTTTTTTGTTAATAGAAATCATGTACAATATACAGTATTTCAAGATTTAATTAGTGCTGGGACATTTAGGCAGAAATTTAGTTTTTAAATATATGATTTATACCTGCAATTGCCTAATACAAATTTACTGTACATTATTTGAGGGTATAAAAGAATTTAGGGAAAGTTTAATAAGCCTGTATCAAGTTCAACTATGAGCTTTACACAATACTGTATATCAAACAAAAGGTTTATTTATTTACAAGTATGGAACTAAACTATAGCAATTTAGCATTATGAAATACTGTACTAAATGGCAATATATGTCATCTTTTATATGTATTTGAGGTGGCTAGGTGTAGTGAAACTAATTTTATGGCCAAATCCTACTGTATGATGTGATAAATGTGATGGAGACTGAAGTGGTATAAACCTGAGAGTTGTCTTCTGGATACAGTGGCAATAATTATAGCATGAATGATATTGTGGATCTGTTTAGCTTTTTGTACTCAAAATGCTCATGTGTATTGTGTAAAATATTATAAAAGGATGTTTGTGAAAAAATAAACATTGAAATTAGTATTTGGTTTATCCTAATTGTTTTATACAGAATGTCACCAAAGTATGGTAACTTAAACGTGTATGGCCAATACGTAGCCTTACCAGAGCCGTTTCCTACTGCCGGTTATGGTGGTAGGAGGAAGGCCAAGGGGAGAGGCTACCCCACCCTCCCTGGCTGTGGTGACTATGTTGTCATTAAGAACAAGCAGATTGTTACCAACAACAGAAGACCAATGACCCTGACAATGGGCACGGATCAAGGAATGAGTGATTGGGTAAAAATCTAAATAGGGTATGCCTTTTTTGGGAAATACTGTAGGGCAAATGCTGATAACCTGCTTAGTGGCAGGGTCTGCACTCATTTAAGGAAATACAAATATGGCTGGAAACCAAGCAAAACGCATCCTATTTAAATCTGCTAGAGCTGAGAAACGGCTAATATTGGCTTTCTATTACCACAGGATGTATAGAGTTGAATGATTCCAAAGCCTTAAGAGCACTAACTTGTCATATTTTGTCCAAAGTGACCTGCAGTTTTCAAAATATGATGCTTATCGGAAATATGATTTTTGAGCGTTACTTTTTAGCAGAATTCAGAGTAATTGAACATATTTGGAGTTTTAAATTATGATTTTTTATACAGAGAATATGCAAATTAGTGGATTAGTTTTAGTTTAGTTCAATTATTATGCACCCCTTATCAATCCTGTGGGCAGTAGTGGACAGGGTTACAGAGGCACATAATGAGTTCGGGGACTGAACCCCACAATTCATTTAGCTAAGCAAATTACAATCTTGATGAGCTAGTTACAAAATTCAATATACATCATCACATCAACAAGGGGCTCAAGACCAACCACAAATAGTTTCTAATTTAAGCAACTGACACATATGAAGAGCTAGTGTCACAATTGATATGTTTATCCTGCACACCCCCCTCCCCTTCACACTAGAGATGCTATACCGATGATGACACTTTTCAAAACGCTTGTGCTCTCTAGAGTGGAGTACTGCACAATGACAGCCCCTTTCAAAGCTGGAGAAATTGCTGACCTGGAGAGCGTGCAGAGATCCTTTACTGCTAGAATCCACTCAGTCAAACACCTAAACTTTTGGGACCGACGTAAGAGCCTAAATCTGTACTCCCTTGAGCGCAGGCGGGAGAGATACATAATAATTTACACGTGGAAAATATTAGAGGGGCTGGTCCCAAACCTGCACACAGAAATAACATCACATGAGACCAGAAGACATGGCAGGATGTGCAGAATACCCCCGTTAAAAAGCGGAGGTGCATCAGGTACTCTGAGAGAGAACTCTATCAACATCAGAGGCCCGAGACTGTTCAACTCGCTTCCGCTACACATAAGGGGCATAACTGGCAAACCCCTCACAGTGTTCAAGAGAGAACTGGATAAGCACCTCCAAAGGATACCTGATCAACCAGGCTGTGACTCATATGTCAGGCTGCGAGCAGCCGCGTCCAACAGCCTGGTTGATCAGTCCAGCAACCAGGAGGCCTGGTCGACGACCGGGCCGCGGGGACGCTAAGCCCCGGAAGCACCTCAAGGTAACCTCAAGATAACCTCAAGGTAAGGTAACCCCCCAACCATCCAGTGGGCAGCGGCAGAGAGGTTACAATCACTCGGTTACTGCCTACAGTACAGTTAGCAAACTGGGGATATTTGGCCAGGATTTCTGGTAGCAGACTTCTTGTTGTTGTAGGGGATACGAGGCACACCCAATATCCCCCTTACATTGATCACATCGCACACTAATATTTTTAAATAAAATAAATAAAATGTATAATTGTTCATATGTATATGTATATATTATAAAATATGTATAATTATTCAATATTAAAACCACAATAGAATGCTCTAAGTACTTTCGTATATTAATACATCTTCAGAAGGAATGGTTCGCTCTGAAGATGTATTAATATAAGAAAGTACTAAAGGAAATTCCTGTTTCAATTCTTCCTCCGTGGTCTGACACTCTTTATTATATATTGTATATACTGAATTATATATACTATGCTTATATAATATATACTGAAATATTGTTACATTTAACGTATGAAACAAAGTATATATCTGTATTTTTAATAAAATATAAAACATTAATATTTATCAACGTATCTCTGTGAATTACATAATTTATCAGTATTGTACAGCCTGTGATCTCCACCTGGCTGGCCACTGATACCTAAGTAGCTTTCATGTGTCCGGACACCGGCGATAGGATTGTATTATTTAACTTTAAAGAGAGAGATATTTCTTGAAATGTTGTCACATTAACGTCTACATCTTCCTTCCTTCTGACATATAGATTTTAAGGTTAATTAGCATATATGGAAATAAATTACACAATTTATAGGCTGGTGTGAAGGGCTTCACACTCTTAGAGCAAGCCATCAAGAAACTGTACAGTATCAAATGCATATATCTTCGCTTTCACTTCAGTTATATTTATGACAAGTATTTAAAGTGTAGCTTATATTTCTGCCTTTCTGTTGACATAGAAAACTTTCGTTTATTACATTATCTAGATAAAATTAGCTTTGATCTTCAAAAGGTTGTAGTTGTAACTTCCATTATAAACAACATTATTATTGCAAATAGTAGGAGTTTCAAAGTCTCATTTTTTTTTTTTTTTTTTTTTTTTTGAGATATATACAAGAGTTGTTACATTCTTGTACAGCCACTAGTACGCGTAGCGTTTCGGGCAAGTCCTTAATCCTATGGTCCCTGGAATACGACCCCCTGCCGCGAAGAATCGTTTTTTCATCCAAGTACACATTTTACTGTTGCGTTAAACAGAGGCTACAGTTAAGGAATTGCGCCCAGTAAATCCTCCCCGGCCAGGATACGAACCCATGACATAGCGCTCGCGGAACGCCAGGCGAGTGTCTTACCACTACACCACGGAGACTGCGATTTGTATGGATACCTTCTCATATAGGTGTTGTCCAGCATGATGACACAAACAAGGCAGCTAAAACTGAATGTGATAAGCCTGAAGTTGAGTGGGATATGGGCATTCCAATCTCTTCTGTCAAAGCCGCAATATTTTAGGAAATTAGGGAAAACAGAAGAGCAGTCACTGACACACAAAAGCCAGAAAGCAAGAGTATAAAGAGCTATGACATGTTTATGTGCCTCTGTAACCTTTTCCACTACCGCCCACAAGATGATATATGGGGTGCATAATTAATGAACTAAACTAAGTAAACATGTTTAGAATCGAGAATTATATGAACGGACAGCATAAAACTTCCACTAGTGTCACAATGACAGTGTGACATTGTAATTGCCATAATTAGGCTAGGATATCGATATGTATCGCAGGTGGCTGCAGGTAATGAATAGCCCCCAATGGTGAATATTCCAATTGTAAACTATGTGAACAAGAGCTGGGACATACTCGCCAACACTATATCTGTGATTGCCCTGTTATAAGTGACTTCAGACCAAATGGTATAAGGTACTTTGAACTCTGTAATTACTTTATACACTTAGGAATATTGGAAGATATTCTTATGCTGTACCCGGATTTTGCTAACGGAGGCAATAGATCAGCCTTATATTTTATGTTCTCACCTGATTGTTACCTTGAGGTAGGCCCGTAAGTGGTAGTCCTCTTGAACCATTAACAGTATCAATAGATGATACTGGAGATCTGTGGAGGTGCGACTGGACCCTGCGTGACGGGAGATGTATCCCTTGTTTCTTGTGATTGATTGATGAGGATTAAGCCACCCAAAAGGTAGCACGGGCATGAATAGCCCGTAAGTGGTGTTCTTGTTAGTCACAGTTGATTTTTTTTTTATTGAGGCTGGTATTTTATCCCCTGATTCCATGTATAACTAACCATCCTGTGAGATGGGAATATTTAATGAACTTATAGCTAGTTTTTGATATACACTGTGTAATCTTTCATATAGAATAGGGTAGCAGCACATTACTGTGTATACCTAAGCTTGTTAATAATAACAAAAAAAAAAGTTAGTTTCTATCGATAGGGAGAGCGATGGTTCAAAAATCCTTCTTTAAAATATGAATATCTTTCCTATCTCACTAAGATCTAATCTCTGTGATTAAAATGCAAAATTAATAATAATAACAATAATAATAATAATTTGTATTTAGGTAAGGTACATACATAAAGAGATTTTACAAAGTTTGTTGGCTTTATAGATAGAGCTAGTACATACAATGCCTAAAGCCACTATTACGCAAAGCGTTTCGGGCAGGAAAAACATTAATGACTAAAGCTTAAAACTAATGGGTAAAAAGAATAAAATGTGTTGAGAACAAATAAAAATAGAGGTAAAAGAGGGGGGAACATTGTTGAAGAAGCAGCACAAATACAATTACAAATTATTACAGAAAATTACAATCAAACAGCGTTGATTTGAAAAAAAACAAAAACAAAAAACATACATGGGTTGACAACAGAGGGGTAATGTAGGTTACAGGGAATTTATTAGGTATAGCTTCGTTTTTAACTTAAACTGGTTGAGAGAGGTACAGTCTTTAACATGGTTGGGAAGGTCATTATAATTCCACATTCTGGGCCCCTTGATTTGTAGAGCATTTCTGGTTTGATTAAGTCGTACTCTAGGAATATCAAAACTATTTATTTCTGGTGTGGTGCTCATGGGTTCTGTTACAACCTTCTATGAAGCTTTTGAGATCAGGATTCTCGGTTCCCTCCTCTCGGATAATCCTCTTGGTTCAAAAGGTGGGAAGTAGTGGACAGTGTATGATGAAGAAGAGAGTATATATGAATAAATTATGTTATAATGTTATAAAGTATGATGTTATTACAGAGTGTATTGCTGTGCCCAAGAGAAAATTAACACCACCATGGGAGGATTGTAATGTAGATGTAGTAATTACTCCCTTGCATAAGAAAAAAAGTATGTATGAAATAGGAGAGCTGAGGGCAACATATGATTGTATAATTAGAAAACTGCCTACGGAAAACACTCTACATGTATATTGTGATGGGTCA